TCCATTCCTAGGAACATCCTTATTTCACGTGCACCTTGCAATTCACCCCGGGACGTAGTAAAAAGTATCCTGGAACGAACTGGCGTGATTTGAAGAGGGCGTAAAAAATACACTCCTGTGATGGCCATGTCACCAATACGTATATGAAATTAAAACGCTAAACTTTTGGAGTGTTCCGATCGTGGAGCAATCCTCTACCAAATGTATAATCTAAGGAATAGGGAAGAAGTGGGAGAACCCCTATGACACAACATTCAACCGAATGTATTAGTAATCAGAAGCTGAAGCCGGTGTGTCCCGTTTGTGCAGTCGCTGAACAACCACACTAGCAGGCGGCAACATGTCTGTTGGCTAGAACGGGAGCTACTGCGATCCTAGGGCTTTGTCGCATCATTGTTTCTGCCAATGTCTACCATCCAGAACTAGGCGTTGGCAGAGCAACGGGGACATACTTGTTTACTGGTCAGACGCACAAACTTGTGTCAATGTAACTGAAACCGAAAGTTGCTGAGCGCCTGGGAAATGACAGTCAAATTGCCCGAAAATCGCGAAAGTAAGTAAAAGCTTAGATCTGCAAGTACTTTATCTACCAAGAACAAAGGTATTCTAGAGTAACATGATTGTAGTGAGGGTCTGGGTAGTAGTGTCTTCATTAGGAATTGGTTCTCAATACTGTATTCACGATGAGCACGTAAGCCTTGTTACTAAAATATTACTTGTTTTCACTCTGAAAAAAGTCACACAGCAGGTTTTTTATTTGATTTATTGGAGTCAGCAGGAAGCCCACTGCAGGGGCTGTCCATGTGCCATACACTGTGTGGAAGAAAGAATATTAACCCGCTACTGATTTCGAGGGAATCGCCGTAGTTCCGGTTCCAACAATTTCACCACGCGTGTGAACCCAGAAGATAATTTAATTTAGAAAGTTTGTTTTTGAAAGTTATGCTTTAAGCAAGTATGTTGGTAGTCCAATCACGTCGACTGAATTGCGATCGGAAACTCTTCTCACACGCTTCCTCATCCATACCACAAAAATAGCCATCGGGGAATAAGGTACAGCTTTGTTTCAGCAAATTTTTCTTACAAAACGGTGGATATTAGCTTTGTTTAGCGAATTTCTCAACCGCGATAAAAATACATCTGCGACCATTCCGCTTGCTAATTTCTCTCTGCTCATACGTATCCGTACGGGTAGCCTCATGTCCAGTCAACTTTCTGCTTTACAATTCGACCGTTCACCCTCTTGATCGCTTTCCTGGCTTCATCCAGCTTTGAGCCATGTGGAATTTATACAAAAACCGCCCGTTATTACAGTCGACTAACAAAAACGAGATCACTACATTTCCCTCTTGCGGATCAGAGTCTGTTTTAACTTCATCTTTTTCCATTTCAACGCGTGATAGTTTTCGATAGATACTTCCATAAAATTCTCGGCATTACTCAATAGTAATCCTAAAGAAGTCCTACTTAAATCTGGGTTGCCCCAAGAGATGGCCAAACTCTGGTGCAAAAACGAAAGACTGAAATCCCTTCAGGAGATCTTGATATCGCGCCATCTTCAGCTTTCTTGAGTTCGTTCGCATCGTCTTGGAAGTCATAGCAAAGGGGTGTGTTCCCGATCATCAAGCAGAATCTGCTGATAATAATTTAGAGGCCAAGTTACACATGCTGCGAACGGACGATCGTTTTCCAAAGTCGGAGGCTGAACTCGCAGTCCCTTACCTACCAAGTTCATTTTCGGTCCTTTTGTTTGCCTCAATGTACATTGGATTGTACTCACACTTATTTGCATCAGTCTATTTTCGGCGAGCTGATAATTCCAAAATCATATTCTTCGAATTAATCTGGATGTGAACTGGAAAGAGAGAATTAAATACTGGGACTATGGAAACACAAGCAGAAGCAATGATATACGGAAGGTTCGAAGGAATACAGTTGGACCCAATGGCCGTATCATGGATCACCAAGCAATTAAGAAGACAAACAGGGCCGAGGAATTTCCTAAACCGCATCAGGACCAAAATTGAAACGAATAAACACAGAGTTTACCTCATAAGCCGTTATTGGCTGATCAGTTTTAGCACAAGGTGATTTTTAAAAGGCAAGATACTGTTTTGGCTGGATTGATGTATTTTGGTTGCAAGTGCCGAAATTTGATCAAAACTTAAACAAACTTGTTTGGCTTCGCAATGCTATGTCGGTGTACAGTAAAAGTACGCGCGCCTAGCACGTGCAGGGTTTAAGATGTAATTGAACTACAACTGTCCTGGCATGAAGAGATCATCTAAATGAATCGGACACAAACAGACTGATCCAAAAGGCATTATTTTCTGCGAGGAACCAAAAAAAACCTGGTTATGAATAACTGGGAAAAAGCTGCAGAAATAAGCTTTGCTGCATCTTTGTGTAGCACACTCACGGAACGACTTGTGGTTCATATATGTAGTATATGTATGTGGTTAATATAGGCCATCAAAATTCCAGGATGCTGAATGTAAACTGATGTGAATTTAGTAGCAGCACAGAACAGCGTCTAAGTCAGACAGGCATGCGTCAGGTTATCTCACCACAATAACTGTGCAGTGCATTAGCAAAGAACAGAAGCAAATATCGCACGCTTTATTGAGAAGCTCTCTCTGAATGAACTGTGGAACGAACAGCAACTGAAGGCTCAAAAATACAACAAAACTTCTTCCCATTATTGTATTAGGAAAGTGAACATTTTGGCTTCTTTTTACAACCTTCTATCTGCTCACATCATAAAGATAGCAGTCCGAGGTTTTGCATGTCCGTTACACCACATTCAGGCTACTGAGCGCCGTGATCTCAGCAATATAAGCAAAAGAACCGAACGCGTATGTGTTGATTGTGCTTCGAGTTGGTGAAATATTGTGACTAATTTAATTCCCTTACAAATGAACCCAACCAAGGCCTCACTGCCTTAACCTTTACCAAACTATTTTGCGTACCATTGGCATCAGGTTCTGTGTGAGCTTCTACCTCAGCAATAAATCACCTTGAATTTCCTGTTTTCTATTTAGTGCACTCCACATGATGCACTCTGGACATAGTACAAGACGTTATTCTAGGTCACGCAACAATGGCTACAGATGATCTAATGCCTCCGTAATCGAATGACTTAACCGGACTTGAAGGACCAATAAAACATCTTAGGTCACCCAGCCAGATGTGAATAGACTAACCTTGATAATTTGAACTCTGCTTCGGTGGATAATCATGTTGGATCTACCGCCGGATAGCGAACATTACAAGTTCCTGGATCCTATGACCCGTTTTAGTCAGCCATCTGCTCACACCATCATCTCTGACTTGTAAGGCCCTATGTCCAACCACAGTGGCAAACGTAAATGAAAATAAGATTGCCATGGCAACATGGCTTTTATCAATGGTTCGCAAATGTCTTGAAGGATCAATAAAACATCTTAGGTCACCCAGCCAGATGTGAATAGACTAACCTTGATAATTTGAACTCTGCTTCGGTGGATAATCATGTTGGATCTACCGCCGGATAGCGAACATTACAAGTTCCTGGATCCTATGACCCGTTTTAGTCAGCCATCTGCTCACACCATCATCTCTGACTTGTAAGGCCCTATGTCCAACCACAGTGGCAAACGTAAATGAAAATAAGATTGCCATGGCAACATGGCTTTTATCAATGGTTCCGCAAATGTCATCAAATGTGGACGGTTTCAGGAGAGCCAGCTGAGGCATGGATTGCTGAACCTGTCATCTTCGGACAAGTTATCTTCACCTGGACAATCACCAACCAAAGCATTTTTGATCACATCCTTTTCTTCTCCAAGGAAGGTAGATCTCTTGTGGCTTTCTTAAGTTTCACCAGAACACAGAACCCCTACGGGGATGGGCATGTTTATTGTAACCACATCCCCGTTGTTCACGGTTTTCTTATTGGTGGAATGTACTGTACCATGTAATTTTGGACTAGTTTGGAAGGAATAACCTAGCAAGTGGACTCAGTGCCTGAGGTTGTCACAATCCCAACCCGAGACTAACCTTCACTGGTCCACAGAATAGGTGTAAGATTTCGTTGACGAAGAGCCCAATTGAGAGTCCACCGGGTAACTTCCGAGAAAGCGCGGGTACACGATTGGAGCAGATGATTTATATGGTGATCTCTGCGAAGATTTTGGTTGAAACGTGCTTAAAGATATTATATTTTTGATCTAAACTGAGAGACAGCACCTCCAGATTCCGAACAATGAGTGAAGGTTTCAGGGGATTATCCAGACGTTATCTTTTCTGAGACTGGTTTGTTCAAAGGATTGCCTTTTTCGGAAGAGATAACTTCTTACAGCAGTGGCTGTAGCATTCCTTTTAATGCGGTGAGGACGATTTACTGTCTGTTGAGCTTTGTCCTATCTAACACCTGAAAATCACGGCCACGTCCCGTTTTTATAACATCTTTTTGCAGGTAATGCATACAGTTTGTCCACTTCTTTATGTAAGACTATTGTTCCATTTCTTGTCCTGCCGCTTCTCCTAAAAACTTAAATTTTCAACTTCACGTCAAGAAGATTTTTAGCTTCAAGTCAAGTTTGGTGGAACCTTGTGATAGAATTAGTTACACTGAAAAATCACTTATTTCCATTAGACAAGTTAATTTCAGCCATGAGGGCTGCGCTCTCAGATGATTAAGTGCATGCTGGCTTATTTGGGAAGCTGCCGAGACACATTAACCCCAAGGCGCATTAGCACATTAGAGTTCCACACGTTCTGCCTCTGACCTTATCCTGGAACTAATACTGAAACTGTTGAACCCTTGATGAGAACTGCGCTGAAGATGGCTAAATCTCAGATACAGCGATATGATTTGCTTAACCGTTTCTAAGCGCGGCTTCTGTAAGCAATCATCCATTTTAACAGAACTTAAGTTTCACATGTAGAACAGATCTTCCACATGATGTTCTCGTATAGCTCTGTAACTATTTATTGATATCTACTCCTTTTTAACACAGGGGCAGCCGTTTTTCCAGCTACAGATATCTCAGAGATTCCTTGTCGCGTATGTGGAGCGAAATCTTCTGGCTTTCACTTTGGTGCTATCACTTGTGAAGGATGCAAGGTAAGCGGATTCGACCAGTGGCAACCTAATTGAGGCATCTGGCAGACTCAGCCTGTTGATTTCCAGATGTTTGCTTAGCTACTTTCAAACGTTCAGTAGCTAAATAAATGTGCGTTCTTGTCGCTGCGCTAGTCAGTGCGGTTCTAAAGGGGATGGTTTCCTGGATTTCTCCATACGATTGAATTTAAATGAAAGCAGTAAGTCCTAATCCTTACTTTCCAAGATTCTGGTGGGATTCCTTCCAACTACTCCGTCGGAGAAATTACATTTGATGGTAAAAAAATTATCCAACCCCACGCTTCGTCCTGAACGGAACATATTAGGGCCCATCGCGCATATATTTAGTTAGCAGTCTGCGTGAATCGATCTAAGACGCCACTTATATTCATATATGTCTTGAGTGCTAGTGTGTGTTTGGGGTGGCGCTGCTGTACACGGTGAGGATTGATGACCAGAAAAACCTCCGACCCCTTGCATTCACGTGATGAGTTCCGGTTAGAATGAAAGCGCAACAGATTGCTTTTTCAGGTTAACACTTGTTTTCGGTTAACGCATATGGTGTTACACCTATTTGCAAACTTTCTGTGCTAACGGAGCAATAAAGTGTTTAAACATGGCTGGAAGATTAATTCAGGAGTTGAAATCTGCTAAAAAAAATGGCTGAGAAACCGAAAATTCAGGGCGAGCACAGATGTTAATTGGGTCTGTGGTAAGGTATCAATTATCCGAATTTTTTTCGCTCTTTCAGGGTTTCTTTCGGAGAACTATCAACGAACGAGAAAGTCAGCGATACACATGCAGAAATGGAGGCAATTGCGCGGTAACCGGAGCGACCCGAAACAATTGCAAAAGCTGTCGCTATCGCCGCTGTGTTGCGGTTGGCATGTCAAAGGACGGTGAGTTGCAATTTTTCCTCGTGCAACACCACACTGAAGGGTCATTAGTTTTGAATTTTCCGTTCTGATGACTACACTCTACGTTATTCCACTCCTTCTCGTGTCCGCCTAACGCAAAACACTGAAAATTGAAATAAGGCTTCCAAATTTGATAGTCCAGATGGCTGACATCCCCAAAGACCCTAATAATAAGCGTATACTTTCTATGGGTCGAGCTCACCACCTTTATTCCAAATGTTTCCTTAAAAATCGGGTGCCGAAACAGGTTAGTCTTCACAGCAACCGAGGCATTTGTTAGATGCACAGTGCTAATCATTCTCAACAAGAGTAAGACTGCTTAACAGTGTTTTCCAAATTTCGAACAAAGGCTGACTCAGGATTTCAGAACTTATGAAATTCAAACATCAATGGAGTGCATTCAATTCAATGACAGAGTTGTTTTTACCAACCACCAGAGAAAGTACACGGGAAACATTGTGAACACCAGCATAAAATAGATGTGTAAATGGCCTCGTGGCTGGCATCATTCCGAAATACCATAAAGCTTATGTAAACCGAACTTGGAGTGAGTTGAATAATTCGTCCTTGAAAGTAACCAGTCAGAACTTTCCTTTCAAGTCAAACATCTTTGTTTTCTTAATAAACAGGGAGTCGCATTGGTCGACAACCGAATGCAGTTAAACACCGTTGTGCAATCGAAATTGAGCAAATACGGTCGGCCGTTGCTTCGTGTACAGCATCCTATGCAAAATCTCCGAGTAAATTCTACCACTCAGGAACGTTTATGTCCCCTCAACCTAGTGGGTCCAGTGGAATTGCAGAGCAGTCTAGATTGTCCGGTGATCAATATGTATCCACGCAACAACCATACACCAACACGAGTGCTTCGATTGCAAACGCCACCTGCTTACGACCCGCCCCACCAAATTATTCAGCCTTACTTCGGGAAGGATCAAGATTTTTCCAATCTCCAACTGAATCACCACTCTATCTTCAGGCAAGAACGAACCTGGTGTCGGATATATGCCCATCCACACCCCATTCTGATATGGCACCTTCCTCTATTTTGGAGTCAATAAACTCCTACTCATCTCAGGCTGATATCGATCTGACTGGAATAAGGGAGCTGACACCGTACAAAAGTTGCCACTCAAGTACTTTTGAAACGCCTGCGAAACACAACCAAACTGGTTATGTTGATCACGCAGAATTGTTGTGCTCAGGTCAACAAACAACCCAAGACTATCGAAGAGGATTTAGCAATTCAAAAGCAAACCAGTCCATTATGGAGACCCATCAGCATTTACATCTTTTCCCTCAGGAGGGGATACTGTGCGACTCACACATTCAGGCTATTAGGGAATATGGAGAACAAACCCCATCAGTAAGTCTACTACAGTTATCACAAGCAGCACAGCTATGCAGTGAGCGTGAGCGTGAGCGTCAAATAGTATCAGGTGACAAAACGAATAGGTCAAATATGACGGACTATTCTCAAACGGTATTCCAATCAAACTCACCTACTGGTCACTTGGCTGACGAGCCACCACACCACGGAAGTGGCCATTACCTATCTCGTGCACATCAGCCTTTATCAACGATGCAAACGGAAAATTTTGACGAAGGAATGAAGCCTGAAGAACAGACAGCTGTTTCCGTGGCGAACGATTTGTGGCATACAATCGAGTGGGGAGTAGCTACAAATAAAATTCAAACAATGGACAGATACCAATACACGAAAACCCCTCTAGAAGATCATTCATCTATAAATCAAGACGTCACCTGTGAACTTAAAGATGATCCTAGCCTAAAGGATATAGGATGTTCTGAGAATAGACCACGCGTAGGCGGTCAGTGTTCAGCTGGGCGCGCTCCACCAGCTAATTGCACGTCTCTAAAAGTTGAGCCAGCTGAGGATGACAGGTACATTTGGCGAGGGTTGGACGACGAAGGTGCTCATACGGCAGTTAACTCTTCTCCCTTGAGTTACCTTGATAAAAGGTCCACTTATGAAGAGTTTCATGAAGGACTGGCTACCCTTACCTCAAAAGCAGCGTACACCCTAGATCCTGTGAGGCTTGAGATGGAAGACCAGACAAAAACTCCCTCCTCTTCTTCGATAGCAGACCACGAAGAGCGCCTCGTGATTGTTGATCAGATTGATGTTAATCATGATACTCGACCTTCATCATTTACCGTGCCGCACAGTTTGAAATCAGAGCGAAGTCCCCTGAATCCACAGCTATCTCCACATCCAAAACAGTCTAGTTCTGCAAACGTCTGTCCAGAGTTTCTGGACAGACGACAGTTCCAAACAGATAAATCCAATGCATTTCTCAGCCTTCGATCAACCACCTCAGGACAGGCATATATTTCACCCTCAAAGGCGTTCCTCAACCGATATACCTCCACATTTCATGCAAGTGATTTTGGTGACACTGATTCTTTGATCCAGTCTACAGCTCAATACAAGCCACAGCTTGAACTACACAAACTCAATAATCTATCGGATACCAGAAAAGTTGTCTCACATCTTTCAGAACGATCACCTGAAATGATTGCTCATAGATTGCCAACCGTCAACTCAGAGGGAAGGCCGTTTGTATCGGAAGTCCCATTTATGGACGAATCCAAACGCAGTACAATTAGAAAACGCAAGATCACGGAGGAGCAAACTGGGTGGTTGCATGCAACTTCAAATGCAATGAAAGCATCTTCTGAACCCACTACAGGGCTAACCGATCTGTGCTCTATTGGTGAATTCTACGAACAGGTGAGTAATTTTGTTTGGCGGAATGAATGGAACTTTTGATTTGATATTTCCTATTTTTACCTTAAATCCTACTCGAAAGTCTCTTGTCTGAGTGCTTGTAATGCACGCGAACAGAAAAGTAAATGCTCACGTGAACGTATGTCGACAAAACTGAAGTGCAATGCAAAGGCTGTATTGTATTTTAATCCGGCGGTTTGCTAGTCCGTCACACCTGATTTACCAAGGTGGTCATCCGCAGCGCGAGGAACGTGATCACTAATATATACAAAAAGCAGAAAAGTCATTTTGTGGTACGGGAAAACCGGAACTGTACTGCGTAGGAGCCGTGGTACCAAACCATGGCAAGCACCGCAAAGTTCTGGTAGAAAAGTGGAAGCCGCGAGCATTTAAACCTCAGCTTGGTGTATAGGTGCAATTCTCACTGGTAGAGAGGTTCCCACTTCTTCAGCCAAAGCTGCAATCCCGTAACCCCTTGGTAAGATTGAGAGAGGATTCTACGAGGGACGTGTATTTGTCCCGCATCGAAGCTTGCCTCAAAAATCAGCCCATGAAAATCAATGCCAGTAGTACTCTTGGGTAATGCATTAAATTCTATAAAAACAGAGTTATTCAAATCTACTTATTCAGTACTATTTTACGAGATACCCACCAACGTAAGATTAAATGACCACAAATGCTCGATTGTAAGTGTTAGAACAACAGAAAATGTGAAAATCCAACGTGAAAATGGAGCTACATGTTACATGAACAAAGCGATGAGAGCCTTAAGGTTCTCGAATGAATTCGTTTCGTGCAGTTTGTGTAAATCAGATTGAGATACGTCATATGATTCAGTTTACATAGTTCACATAATCCTGTGACGAAGCAATAAAACGAAGCTAGTCTAAAAAATAACGCTCAGTTCTTCTCGAGCGCAAAGACAAGGCTTAGATTGACTAATCAATATGGTCTCAAGGATCTTCAACCTCTGTGGCTGCCTGCTTCGTGGTAAGAATCGAAACGCTGGACTGAATGAAGCTCATTGATCTGCGTCGATTAGAAGACTGGCGATCGACGACTCGACCCTGGATTCAACCAGCGATGTGTTAGAGTCTTTTGACATGGTGCAGAGTTTTTGGGAACGTGACCTTTGCTAGCCTTTCAAGCCTCCCGTCGGTTCCACTGATAGACCTATTATCGCGACTGAAAATGAACTGATAAATGCAGTGAGTTTTAGATAAAACTGAAGTCGACATTTCTCACACGGCTGCGGTTACTGTTAGTCTGATGCAGGGATACGTTTAGTGTGTGGTTAAACAGACTGAAAGGCTAATCACCATTGTAAAGAACATTAATATAGGTATTGTTTTCAGGTATTGTAGGTGACACCTTCGGTTTACCACGCCATATGCCAGGTTCAGTGAATCTAAAAACTGGCCACCATAGAATTAACTGATTACACCCTATTTCTGACCTTGGATAAGCCGTGCGCGGATCAGAACAGTTTCCATATACATAGTTTTCTAGCTAGTGCTAGGAAAAAATACGCAAATTCATTTCGAAGGAGCATGATGGCCATCTTTTGCACAATTTTAACAATTTTATGGTGACCTATTCCTTGCTACGGGTTGCACCTCGAGTCGGTAGTGTCAGTGGTCGTAACCGGACACCAACAAATTAACTTCACTCAATTTTCAACCAGAGGGATCTTGATAAGGTCACCATAAGGCTTAGTGAGGTAGTCATATAAAGTGAACCAAAAAGAGGTTTCGAGCATCCGTGGTGACATCTGATATGGATGTCTTGACAGGCAAGTCAGGCGGTCGACACAACCAGGACAGTTACTAGGTTGTCGCTCGAGGCTAACTAAGCACATCAGCCAAGCGCGTACAAAGTCACCTGTTCATATGTGATAAGTCAGACACATCGAGCACGCGCTGTTGGTAACAGGTTTGCCTCGCCTATCAGGATTCCGGAGTCTAAACACCAGCCGGCCAAGTATATACACTCATGATTGGCAGTAATAAAACGAAAACTGGAAACCAGCCATTCATACCTCTGCTGTTGACTCATCAGAATCGTTGCTCCAGGACAGAAACAGAACTGCTCAGGTGTCATTGATGGGAATGCGGTCCAGATCTTCGCAACGACGTGCAAATCTATTCGACGGTTGATGTATGTTTCTTGCGAACAACGGAACTTATAATAGCCCATCCAGTCAAAGCTGCATCGTGAAATGCTTGTTTTCAGATCAGTACACCCATACAGTATCTGTAACATCCAAATTATCGCAAAGATTACCACTAATGCTGAGTATACCAGTTACCGTGCTCTCACTCGCTATTATGTACCCTATAATGAATCTGGACGGTTCTTTCGTGCAGACAACAAGCTCTTCTTTTTAAGATTGCATTAAAAATAAGACACGTATTTTTGAAATGCTTGGTTTCGGTGTTGAACTGTAGTTGATCGTAAACGAAACCGATAGGTCATTCACACAACGGACATTGGTTTTCAGCAAAGCAACAATAGATTTAGGGTTGCTGACGTTATCCGGTTCCCTTTCGACTGCGTAGTTCTAGACCACTTTTGAAACCAAACTGGAGAGGGATGCATGTTCTTTCCTAATTTACCAGCAGTTTTAATCTTACAGTAAATTCTTCTTGAAGAGTAGGGTGATATATAATTTTACCGCTGAGTGCGGTGTAGCAATCAAGGAAAACCTATCCGCATGAATGAATTTCATTTCAGAAATTCTGGTGGTGATCAGTGAGAGGCATCAACATTCGACAGCGAGAGAGACACCTATTTAGTTGTTCATACTACATGGCCTTGTAAAAGAAATTCCTTTAGACTATACCGAGACATGTGGATTTCAGTGGCCAAGATTAACCATTTACCACAACTGAAGGCAATTTACTTGTAGAACTTGAAGCACCATACGTCTCTTCAGATCATGCTGATTTGTCCGCAGATTGCCAGATTTACAACTGTATCACTCAACCAAAAAAGGAGGGATTACTTTTCATCCAACCTTTTTAACTGACTTCCCTCATGTGCCCACTGTTTATGTAGATATTCTCTCTAAACAAGGACACAAATGTATGCACAAATATGGCTTGGGAAGTTTTTCGTAGAACATCTATCAGACTGGGGATCACGAAGAAGGACTAATTATTCTCTCTGCTAAACACTGTGATGGGTGAAACTAGATGCTGCCTTGGATCATCAATTGCACTTTTCAGCGACTGCCAGATAGTGCCCTGACCTTGGACCAGTTAGGTGGTTTTGTTGCCTGTTCCAATCTCTATTAGCTTTTTATAGTTGTATTTCCCGCGCAAACGTCTGTGTTCATTCCGAGTTGGTTAGCACATTGTTGTCTAAAAAGTAGCCCTTTGGGTCATTTTCGTGTGGCTATGGGAATTGTGCCAATAGGAAAACGCGTTCCTTACATGTAATCAGACTAGAGATACTGGGAATCATTCATGGTGACCGAAGTGAGCCTTCTCGGTTATAGGTGACCCTGCTCGATGCAGCCCTGATACCAAGGCGGTGACCGTACGGATTGTTCGATCTAGAGAGAGAGAGAGAGATCTAGAGAAAGGGCCACCCCTATGACACCGAATCCCTCACGGCTACGAAGTGCCGACAACAACACGCCGGCCCGGGTAGTATCAGGTGACCGCTGGTGGATACACAAATCAATGACATTGTCGCCTATCAGAACTCTAACCTCAGTTTTAACAACTGGTCATCCTATCTTACAATTTGCATGCATGATAGACCTGACCGAACAAAAGTGCACTTGTCCAAAACAAATTCGTATACTGTCAAACGAGTGGAAGGAGTCAAAAATCGAATCACCGATTACCCGGCATCAGGCTTCCACCGAGAAGGGTCAGGCAGTGCAATTTCACCCTTCTTTCAAGGTCATAGAACGAGGCAGGCACCAGAATAGACTGCATATCCTCGAGGTAGTATGGATTATCATGTACTATGAGCTCGGACAGACCTAAAAATTACTCCGATAATACGTTGGTTGTACTGAGTGGTCATGGTTCACCTCAGTTACATATAAACGATTCAGCTAGCTCTGTATTTTATTCTGCTTCCTTCTGCCTCACGCATAATGGGGTAGAAGAGGCTGTAAGAAATCATCCTCACTGTTTTTTTTTCAAATTGACCTCGGGATCACAATGCTACAAATATCCCATACACACAAAATTTACTGACTCCACTGTGTTCTTTTTCTAATACTCGTTGCAGTATGTTGGCACACCGGAATCTTCCACAATTAAGCAAACAGACGGGCAACAACATGAAATCTACCTCGGTCTGCAGACAGCAAAACACAAATGTGATGAAAACTCCCCGGGAGGGTGCATCATTTCCGTAGAACGGGATTTGGTCTACCATGAACCTGTTAACACGGTGAATCTAAACAGCGCTCAAAAGAGGATACAGGTTGAAGCGGTGGAAGCCCGAGAACGGATATCAGACAATCATGATGTAGTTCTTGCGGAAATGTCCCAGGTGACAACGGGATCCACTACTGGCCCAAAGTCAACACCTAGACAAATCTACTCTGTGCATTCAGATGCAGCCGTTTACTCACCTTCGCGGGGTCAGTCCAATTTGATTGGTTCTCCGAGTGCTCGGCATAAATCACCGAACATGGTCATCACTGTAAACCAACTTGAGAAGGTAGATCTGGATACTGACATGCTTGAACTCGGTACCCAAAAACTGGGTCTTCAGAACCAGTCAACACCTCCCAACTGTTCCGTGAGTGACATCGATCCTCAAACGGATTCATACACTAGCGAATCATGCTACCCAGACATGGGTGTACGGCATATCCCGTCTGGCCAGTATCGCTTCCAAAGGAACCCTTCAACATGCCCCTCATCATCATCATCCACCTTTGGCAGCAGCAAATCGCCACATCTTTTTAAAGTGTTCGATCTCAAAAGTGGCCAAACGATCCCGTCAAGTGAATCAGTACCAACCATCCCCACGAGTGTTGCATCTTCCGAACATCATATTCTAAACTTCCGCCCGAGACTGAGTCGACCATTGTGTAATACTGATGCAGTGGAGTCATACTTGATTGATCAAAAAAACATTTCAGACACCGTGACAGATGTCATCTATTCCCACTTGGCGGCGCGAGGAGCGATGTCACTGGATATGTATACTGAACGGATAACGCTCGCTGCAAGAAATCTGGGGCGCTGCAAAAGCTGGGTAGGTTTCATTTGTCAGTGATATGATGATGTTAGGACAAGATGCATTCACAAAAAACAGGACGATCACGAAAATTCAACCACCCCCTGTACTAACGTCTTCAAATGAGTAAAGAGCACTTAGCTGTAACATCCATTCGATGCTTAGCCACGATGCGACTCGAGGGCAGCACAAGGGCTGAGCTGCTGTTAGTTTAACAAAGCCTAGATAGGCGTAGACGATATACTGGGGTGGGTTTCGAAGGGGCAAATCTTCTGGTCAGCAAGTTCGCGTCCCGAGCTCAATGTCTTTAGACAGGAAAAGCCAATCACTTTCCTCGTCCAGCTGAACGTAAATGTACCGCGTATTTTTTTCAAAGTGAGCATGTCTTGTTTTTTTAAGGAAAACTTACTCGGACACTTGTCTTGATTGGTTCAAAACTTACAGGTGTTACCATAAATTGGCGAAGCAGCAGTGTAACTGGTCACAATGAATCGGAATTTGCCCTGCTAAGGTAGGTGTACCATAGATGAATGAATGAAAAAAACAGCGAAAAACTGCGCAAACTACGGTAATTCCCTCGAAGGAAGATGACCAATGAAAACGCAGCCTTTTAGCTATTTTAATAAAGAAAACTACCCTCAAGAGCGCTGAAGACTGTTCGAAAGTCCACAACCAGTTTCGTCTTTCTTGGGATTCACCAGGTATGCGCGGTCTCCGAGTTTCCGTCAACCTTAGGTCCTACTTGAACCCAAATTGGACAGGTTCCGACTATTACACTCCTTTGCATATTAGTTTGGTTTTCACAGGTGACTCAGCTGGATCTCTTATTCATGGTGAACGAAAGAATCATTTGAGCCTCTCATGGAGATTTAACTGATATGCAAACGAGTGTATTCGTTGAAGCTTTTTTGCTTCTTCGATGTTGGTTTTCCCATAAGTTGTTGTTTCAAAGAGTTTGTTGACTTCAGTTGTAGTCCTGTTTGTTTTTATCTTGTTTTCCAGTGTGATTTCACTGGAATTCCTAGTTGCTTTTGAAAAATTACCTCACCAGTAGCTTCCATAGGTGATCAGTCTACCTTATTATCTTCAGTAGTCTGAGTTAACATTTTTGTTTTTAGACATTGGTTTTAATCATCTTCCCAAGAAATGCCTCCTATGTGGAATGAAAGAAACCGACACGTCTGAAATTTCTTCTAGCTTTGAATATTGCTACCTCCACGCACCTACGAGACATTGTTCATTAGAACCAGTATGTGGCTCACATAAATTTTACTTTGAGCAGCTATACCAGAAATACTACCTCCCAAATCTAAAAGTCAAGAGGTCTAGCACTGATGACATGAACCCTTGTGTGATTTTCTCCTTGGCCGTGTGATGGTGCTATACGAATGGCATTATGACTTTGAATTTCTCCAGCCATCCTCAGTAAGCTTTAGATGATTGGGAAGCCATTATTGTGCTTGCTTAAGCTGTTTAAAATTGTCGGAGGTCGCGCAGGCATAACTTTTCCTGCATTTTTCGGTATACGGGACCAACAGCTCATCTTAAGGACATAGTCGCTCCTTGGGGAGCAGAATTGTGATCTCTGGTGAATGAAAGCTGGTCGTACTAGAACTGGTGAGTCCTAGAAATCTTAGGGTAATTTGTGATTTGGGTTCTTATGGGGGTCGGCAAAGGAGATGCTGCGCTTGGTCTGTTCCTATTCTGTCCTTCATACTACTTTCAAACTGTAAGTAGGGAATAAATATAAAGAATATAAAAATGCCTCCGCGACCATCGCTTTCGCAACGACTGGGACTGTATGAATCGAAACTGCATTATTGTTGTCCATTGTCGGTAGTCTAATACAAGAGCAGTTAATGGGGAGCTATCGACTTAAATCCTACTGAACACCACGTGCCTAGCCTTTTGGAACCTGGTAGTAGCATTTGTCCTTGTGGAGTGGAAGTTGGGGTTGAGGGGGTCGAACAGGCTGTCCACAATCCAACCGGAATGATTTCGACACCAGTATTCACAAGACAATAGTTCCGACGGACGAATTAATCTGTTGAATGTCGAGTGACAACCTGGATTATACCGCTCTTACCTTGGATTTTAAGGTCTTTTTGATAATAGTTTACCTGGCAGAGCACTACTGGGACTGAACATGCACGGCCAAGGCTGGAAATGCTCAGTACCTGGAAAGTACAGTATTCCTAGGATATATTGTTATGTAACAGTTAACTCGATCCTTACTTCAGGGTGCTGCTTACCAGGTAGATGGGTAAAAATGACTTCGGAATCAAACAAGGTTTTGAAAACTGCACTTTTTACACAGTTTCTTGAAGCAGAAACAACCAGTTTCCAGTATAATCAGTAGCCAAGTATTACATGGCATCTTATATCTATTACTGACACATAGTTCTTTTAGGTCCTAAAAGCTGTCCACGCTTGCTTGAGTCGTCTTTTCTTGCGTACCCGAGCCTCATCTTGTCGTTTTTTATACCGGTGTTCTGAATTACCCAGTAACCAGTAGCTTGTGCGCCCGTGTCACGTGAATGCACTGTACTGTCTCGTTTTCATTCGAGTATAGAATATGAGTTTGGTGATCAGTGTATCGTACATGTGATGCGCTTAATGATGCGGTTACGGAATACCATAACAACGTGAGTGAACCGAAAAACCCTTTTGAGCTATATTTGCTGACTGTTCCTGTCCGACTGCAAGTTCCACGTCAAAATTTTGTGGAGAAATCAACGGTAATAAACATTAGATTTTTGAATGATCACGAGGAAAAACGCACTGAACTATTGTTCTGTGTAAAGCTAGGCGTGTTCCAAATTGCCTCAAAGACCAGAAAAAAATTATCGTTAGAATACTACCTGTAAAAGCATTTGTCAACCTCTCCTGGAGATGCCACCTCTTTTGAAGGGTCGGCTTGGTTAACTGAATTTACCACGCCAAGTGAAAGGGGAGATTCATTTACGTGCATCTGCAGACAGTTGAATATGGTTTTGTTGTGGGTGTCACAGTGTGATGTCAATGGTCGTTATCCGGGAATTCAGTCGTCTTAGATGCAAATATCTAGCACGGTTCATAAAGCAGAACCCGCTAATTACCACGGTTTGACATAGATATACGACAGGAGCACGCCAGGCTTTAGCTCCAACTCCTTCAATCCATCAACACTGTGGATTCAAGACCAGTTCTCTTAATAGTGTTGCGTTCTGGTCGTCCTATCTGTGCTCAACAAAAGGCTACGTACGGTTTTCTTTTACAGGTAGCGGCAGCACCAAGTGGGGACCAATTCCAATTGTGTCCCTCCCCGAGAGACAAGTGCACCTGTAAATTGAGCAGAAATAATTCTACCTTCCCTCTTATCAATGATTGTAATATTTTCTCCTTTGTTCAGGGCTTTAGCAGCTTCGAAGTGGCACCAATATTGACCACTGACATTGTTTGGTCACACATGATGGAGCATTTCGAAGCACATGCTCATCAAGTTATCCAGTTTGCGCGCGCAGTGCCCGGATTCCGTGAATTACCAAGTGTAGTCATGAAGAAGTTAGTTCAAGAGGGAATGTATCCGATCACGGTGATTCAACTGTCCAAGGACTTTCAGCCATCAACCATGGAATACAATTACTTCAACTTCACTGCACAGGAGCGCGAAATCATTTTGCGTCACTTTCCGGATTTTCTGCCAGTCGCCGACCAGCTGCGTGTTGCAGGGACAGTTTTGCATCCATTTAACTTGGATGAAACAGAAACTGCTCTTCTATGCTGCATTCAGTTGTTTCATGGAGGTAACGTCTGATTTTACTCACAAAAGTGCATTCTAAACGCAGCATGCAATTCAGATTGAGCGTATGAGATATGTGTATTGCTTGTTCCCTCTGCCTTGTTGTCCCTCTCCTCCCCAAAAAAGAAGCGAAGTAACGTCAGGAATGAAGGTTTTTATGTGTCCAAATTTTACCATACAAAGCAGCCTACCCTGTGTGACCTTGCACTTTACCGAAGATTTTGCACATTGCATACCTAGGTGACCTAAGCTATGCAACCAATGAAAGCCACTAGTCAGCTATGACAGAGATATTTACTGGACAGAAGCATTCCAGAGAGAAAGAGAGGTCATGGACTGACTCGAAAATCAATCCCACAAAAAATCAGAGAAAACTCAAACATTCTAGCCAGGGGTTTGACAGTATCTTGGTGAAATCTCACCAGCAGATGTGGTCATGAAAAGTTCAGCTCAGCGTTACCTCAGACAGTTTCCAGCGCACATCACTGTTGTCAACGGCTTAGGGCTATACAAATCCGCTGTACAAAATTCGAGTGTTAGAAAACATGGGAATCGTTTTCATGTCTTCTTTGGCATACAAATATGAGTCGTCTGATGATATTCAACCCGTCAATAAAGTTTGAATAAGCCGACAATAAGTAAATAGCCACTGGATATCTCCAGGGGATCTGAAGTGCACGAGGTATGATATATTGCGGGGAAGTACACAGATATAGTCCAGTCCTGTGTGTAAATGCTGCACTTAAAGGACTTCGTGGTAGTGTAAAAATTACAAAACACAAGTCACCTCAAAAGCTACAAGGACTACTGGACCAGTGTTGCTTAGTTGGGTGTGTGCCGAACAAAGGTTTCCGTAAGCCCCAGGGTTTTTATATGCAGCACTGGACCAGTGTTGCTTAGTTGGGTGTGTGCCGAACAAATGTTTCCGTAAGCCCCAGCGCTTTGTATATCCAGCGGGCCATTCTGAAATGGCTTCTCCCTGCAGGTACCAAAAATCTGATTTACCTTTTATTACCACTCAAAAGCTCCAAAAATATCGCCCGTCGCCCCACCATTTATACTGGAAAAAACATCTAACAGAGCAAAGCAAAGATAACAGTTCAGCAACAGACTTTCGTGGGCTCCAATCCCAGGGACACGGTGCAGGCCTACAGTTCCTCTATGATTTTCTACCCGGTTGTTTGTGAAAGCACTGTAAACTAAGTGAATCGCACTAATTAGCGCTTATCTCAGGGAATGACAGACAAAGCTAAACTAGCCAGACACGTGACGAGCAAGGTCAACCAAACTGACCAACAGAGAACACAAGGCCAAATCAGTCGACTCATTCAGTCTGGTACAATTATGACAAAACCGATCAAAGGATAGTTACTAACGTGCAGTGAGGTTGGCTGAAAGGGTTGAGATCGGGCAAAGATGACTGCTCTGTTAACTAACCAAAGCAACACCGGAAACCCTTATCACTGAATTGTCCTATTAGGTTCATTCCCAAAAGGCGAAGTCCCCGCGTTCTCTGTCAGTCGGTAGGCTATATTGTACAGCACTTTTTAACTTCGTTTTCTATTTTAGTTGAGTTTCCGAAACCTTATGTCCTCCCACATACGACCGCATAATTGGTCATGGTGACACACCATTTGGTTGTGCTCCTTCCCCAGATACGACCGCTTCTGCATGACGGCGCAGTTAGCTTGTTTTCCAACTGGTAGTGGTAAGAACACTATCACGGTTTCATCTCAGCTTTCATCAGTCCGAACTAAATGAGTAAGGTAGAACAAACAACACCTATTTTCTCTGCCAATGGTAGTTTGGAAAAGTGACAAAGAACATGAGAGGTGCCAAAAACAAAGCAACGAACTCAGTGAATATGTGGAAAGGAACCTGCCAGATCACATTACGGAAAAACTGAGTGGATGCTGACGAGTTGGGTATCCTGTTCTGCTAAAAAAATGGTGTGAGGTGACTGAAAAGGTGGTCTCCGTAGAAGCTTCTTGTTCATTTAAGAAGAGGAAACTTGAGGAACAGAAATATTGTTCTCCTGAGGAGATAGTCTTCATTTTAAGGCAGGTGACAGGAAATCACTGTTTTTAAAATTATTCCGTACATTAAAATCAGTTGTTGAGTTATTAAAACAGGTCTATCTTGTTCATGATTTCCTCGCTCAATTACTGCTCCATTACCCACTAACATATGGGCCAGTGAGCTCACATCCTTATCGTAACGTCAGATCGAGTTAGATCGAAATGTGCTTTCTGCCTCTAAGTAAGGATTTTCTTTTTTGTTCAAGTTTCATCCCGGAACAGCACAACTAACAAAACATTCTATTCGTTTTCAGGTGGTGAGCGATTTGGTGAAACATCGAAGGTTGAAACAATGTACCAGCGAACTGTCTCGGCTCTCAGGACCTACGAGGAGAGTGAGTGGCTAGCTTCGTTCGCCCTTGTGGCTAAAATACTATTCAGCTTCATTTGAGCAGTACTACTGATTTTACGGTCTTGTTCTTCAGCTCACTCAGGCTGGGTTTGAGGGGATGCTGTGTGGGTTAATCTCTCCATAAACCTCCTGACGCGTTTATAATGGGTGCCAACACCCCACCCCATCTCGAATGTTCAAATTTGGTGCCTAGACCACATCACATATTCATCTCAAATTTGGCCTGAGTGATCTTATATTTATTTCAAAAGTGAGTTCTGGCCTTTGCACCAGTTTGTTTACCTACTGGTTCAGTTGTGCATTCCGTTGAATACAAATCCTTTCAAACTCACCTCTTACACATAGAAAAGGAAATTACGCGTTGTCCACACACCACCTTTGAATGTCTCACCAACTTATGGTCTTATAAATCCCCTATATGTCTATCAGCGTGTGCCTCGTAATGATAAGCAGTAATAATCAGACAGACATCATAAATGAGAAATTCAGTTGGGATTCAAGTGAGCCTCCCTAGAAAACCAAATTGGTATACAAACGAGTGCATTTGCCAAAACGTGTCATTTGCAAATTTAGTTGATGTCGATGGGTGAATCAGCTAACATTCACCTAAGTACATGTTTGTCTCAACATTACGTACAACTTAGTGTTCCAAAGTAGGAAGTAAGGTTGACAGAGATTGGCGGACTAGGCTTGGCTGATGAGCCTAAAGAAGGATGAAACTGGTAGTGGCTGCCCAGAGTTTTTGTCAACCTTTTGAACAGTACTAATGCTTCCGCATCAAGTTTGCTAATGTTACATCCGTCGTGTTCAGAAGTTGAGCAGACGGTTAAAACCCCAGCTCAAAATCGATACAAACGACATGCTGCCTGTCAAAATGCTTCTTCAATCAGTCCACAATATTTTCTGGGACCCCCACCAGTGCTTTGATGTTCCAAACCTTAGAATTTGACTTCTACCAGGAAAAACTCACGAGTCATACGCTAACCTTTATTTCTGACGAGTGAACACAGTTAAACATATACTGAAACCCTGGTACAATCCACTTTGAACCAATAGTTAACCACAGTTTGCCTTACAACTCCGCACTGAACTAACCTATTATGTTCCATTTGAATGTTGCGTTTAGCCGACGCCCCTTATTCAACATATAACAACAAATTTGTCCCGCTCTCAGGAGACAATTCCACAGATGAGAGGGTCCAGTTCCTTGAAGTTTCTGCTAAACTCACCGTCTTTTCTGTTGATTTTCTCGGCGCGACCACTATACCTGCCCATCTAAGACTTCGTCGTATGATTAACATTGTACATAAATGCCGTTTCCTCACGTATTGTAAATCAGATCATCAGAAAGTGCACTATTCTGTTCATAACTTTCAGCCCGTCAAATGGCCGAAGTAAGGACGCAGAATATCCTTGCCGTGACGTCCCTTCTCACCGATATGAACCAAGAGCACAGGGCCATCGTGAAAACCCTTAAACGTGATCGACCTTCACTAAAATTCCCAGACCTCTATGTGCAAATGTTCGAACTCGACAACCAAGACCCGTTCGACAGTCGGGATGCTGATCATCTGCTGTTGGTCGCAGAACCGAACGAGAGATCGACAATCCACCCACAGAACTGATGTCTTTATTAAGACAGTGCCCTGTCATTTAAATAGAAGTACCACCCGATAAAACCGGTGGATGTCGATTTAATTTATCTTTTATGCTGTAGTTTTGTTTTCTGGTTTTATATCAACTGTCAAACCGAAAGGTTCACTTTTATTTGAAAATAATGCCACACACTTGTATTTGCTAATACCCAACCTGATATTATCTACAGTAACTAGCAGAGTCGCCTCATTTTTTCGGGGCCTCCTGCTACCCAAACGATCCAGTATGATTTGTTTTGCGTTTTTTATCCAAACTGTTGCATATTCCACATGTGTAGCATTTCGACATTGTTCGCCAATTGTTGAGGACACAATCGGTGTTATTGCCGTATCTCTAATTCGGTAGACTATTTGGTCTATTCCAGTCTCTATTTCTCCTTCAGGGTCGTCCCTCATCCGGTTGACACACGTTTGTAAGAGAGCGACGGCTTTGTCTACTTCTTTCTTTCATTGAAAACATTTTTCTAATGTTTGTATTTTCTGCCATGGATTTGTGTTGTGCTCCTTTTCGGCATTTCTATCCCTCCAATGTACTTTTTTAAGCGAACATTTGAAGAACTCTTCCTCAGTCCGCTCTCTCGCCCTGTCACAGCGCCAATCCCTCACGGTTTTTCTGCCTGCAATCTCAGTGCTGGACCGAACGTCAGGGACCTTGCTTGAATATGATACTGTTTTTTGACGACCGTCTAGTTTACTTTGTTTCAGTGAGTGGGGAGTGGTCCGCGTATTTCCAAAACACCAGTGTTGCTGGCACAGAAAAAAAGAGCGACCAGGGGATATGTATTTGCGACTTCAGTGACATAAAAATAGACGTTCATTCAAGCCTAGTCTGTTGGCAAAGTGCATATGGCCTGTTCACGACCGGTTGGTTGGTTTCCTATGGGAGCTGGGAAATTTACCTGGTCGTTTACAGTATTTGGAAGGCTCGAAGAAGATTTGCTGTGACTCCGTCACACCGGATAACATACTTTCACAGTGATCTTTAAAACATGTAGAACCATCCGTCACACAGTTCAGTCGATTGTTCCAGGCCGAGTTGCTGTGCTATTGTGCGTCGCGTCGCCCAATTGAGCTTTTTAGGGAGAGGTCATAGTACAGCAAGTCACACAGCATGCATTATGTGAAGGAAGACTTATCCATATGTCTAACCGGGCGAGAAAATCAAATTAATCGATCCTACAAGCAACAGTAAGAGTTGAGTTATGCTGTCTAGGTATCCTGAGAAGCGCCGTTATTTAACCGGGTCTTTGAACCGAAGTTATATCGTCTCAAAAGCTGTCTTTCCAGAGCTTCATGTTTGCAAGTTGTCTTCCGTGAACACTTGTTCAGGGCAGGACCATCGACTTCCATTGCACGACAGACAAAGTCCTATGCATTCGATTCCGCTTGAGTTTCGTGAGAGAAACTGGGAGCATCATGTCAGGATAGATTGAATCCAATTATTTCGTGTATCTTTTCAGCTGTGTTCACAATCAGGATCAAGGTTAAGGCAGGGTAACTGACGGATAGTTTGTCGAACAAACACGCAAGTCTGTAGTTGGTAATATGTTGAAATATTGGTAGCTCGGGTGAGCTTATTGGTTGTCGATCAGGTGGCTGTTGATCTGTTCGCCAAGCTTGGCAACTGGCTTGCAAACGTTTCATCACCATACAAGGAGACATCATCACCTACCCAACTGCGCACTGATGAGGTCTCTCCTAGTGTGGTGACAAAACGCTTGCAAGCCGACTGTAAAGCTCAGCGAACAGATCATTATATCAACAGCCACCTGATCAACAACCAATGCAAGTATGTAAAAATATCACAGCAAGCAAAGGTAATCAGACCCAGAATCACGTTGGATAAAATTCCTAGGGCCTTACCAAGTCAAGACAAGGTTAGACATAAGTCACTGTTGCTTACAAAAATTGGGTTTGTAGTTCCGAATCCCCACCAGCTGAGTAGAGCGGACTAGATGGTTGTTGTTCTCGCAGTTTATGACTTTGAGTAACTGTCAAGCAATCCAGCGAGCCCTGGGAGATTGAGTTGGACGGGACTATCAAGCTAATAAGCACCAGATCTTTTCAGACGTAATCCGAAATCTCTGTAGATAAACGTGTCTTTTAGAGACATCCTCTTGTTCAACGGGTTTTCTTCCATTTTTGATAAAGCTCCTGATGTATCCGTTATTCTACGATACGACTGATATATTTTCAAGGTCTCTTTCTCATGTCTCATGAAAGCAAACGTTTCTGGGTCTGATAACTAATGTCTGTCTGTCAAATGAGCTGGCCGCTGTTATGCCTGGATTCTGAATCTATGTAAACAGCTGATGAGATACGCCAAATAATCGAATCCAATCTACCTTGATAGCATGCTTCTTGCTTTCAAGAGATACAAATTTAGCACCCTCAACGCCCCTCGACCCGTTTCATTAGGGGTTTGAACCCTCACGTAGATTATCGGGCAATAAAGCTTTCACGCAAGATGTTAATGACCTGATCTTGACGGTCAGCACCTAGCTATAATATGACATACTGGCAAATTGAAATCAGGCTGCATCACGAGGAAGTACAGCGGCCCGGATTGAAATACTCAATTGGGGCGTTTGGAAGTACGCCTAGGTATGTTGCACGATCCGTAATTAAACAATGGTCTAAAAAATCGGCGTGAGTAGATTGCAGTTCCTCGGTGGTGTCACGCTAGTGCTCGAATATATGTTTGAATGTGCTACCAACCATCATGTGCCTGCGAATCGTATGCATTTTTAGCAAATAATACAAGTCGAGTTTACTCAATCGTTACCGACACGTCGGCAGAGGCTCATCTATTGTTGGAAACATCAGCAGCATACGACGAACACAGCACTGTTACATCAACGAATTAACGCCAGTTATGTGCACCTGCACACAAGATGACGTCAAATGAACTTGTCGGAATGCCACCTCAATCATTAGGCCTACCAACACACAAATGCACTGTCCAAGTGTAAGGAAGGTCCTGACAACCCCGATCAAATACGTATAAATAGGTCGATCTGACGGCTCGTGAAACAAGAATATCCGTTGATCAGAGCATCAACGAGGACGGTCTGGCGGTAACCGATGAAAACCAATAACACGATCGATAACCAAAGCGTTACTGTTGAGAGAGCTAACAGCACGATAACACAATGAACCACGCAGTCTATGTGATGGACTCAATCCGATTAGGAATGCAACACGATAACTTCACACAGGTGCACGTATGACGACAGTAAACTATAATAAATTTATGAATAAGTCATATCTCTTAGTTATGAAGGTTTGTTAAATTGCTAGGCTTCATAAATGAACGGTCTGCGGCTATCTTAGCAGCATAACAATTACCGCACCTTCATTTATGTACAACTCATACGTTAAATTATAAAGACGAACTGATGAAAATTTATCAGGAAGTTTGAAATCATGACGACACGGAGAAGCATACAAGAACAAAGAAAAATGAAATTTGGAGATTAGATTAGTGAAGCAAAACTAAGCTGAGAAGTAATGTACAGTTGTTTCATCCCCATTGAAAATCATCATCAGTACTCATTTCACAAAACTCGAGTTTGGAACTCGCGACCTCCCAGGCAGCAATTGCGGACTATATCGTTCGGTGATGAGTGGCAGTGCGATGAACTCCCAATAAGAAGGGATACAGCCCCATTCACCCTTACGACCAATGAAACCAGACCCATAAAAACCACAATAACTCGGTGAGATGCTATATACATATTCACACACGGAGTTGACGCCGATGGGAGCCAGGAACAGCGCAGATGCCATATAAGGGATCGTCCCATATGTGAAGGTCTCCGGAACAACCATGCAGTGGGGGATAGCGCTACTCTAAAAAACATTGTCACCATTTGGTCAGCTTTTCGTGACAAGGTTTTGGGAAAAAAGCACAACCTACTTATCTAGACCTATTTAAAAAGGGGCCAACGGATGTGACAGCAAATACTAACCACCAACTGAGGTAGATTCACAGACCATTATTCAGCTTCCAACGGAAACGCCGCTCTATATGAGGAAAGAAATGGCTTCAGGGAGCATAGTTCGTCACAGTAGCAGTATGCAACAAGAGATCTAGGAAATTCGATTGCACACTGCGTAGTCTGTCATGACATAAACTGCATATCCACGATGATCGACAAACTTAGCACTACCATGACCAAGGGCTTCTAACCACACCTTTCCAAAAAAACACCACAAATTATAGTATAGAAGATATATTTCAGCTGAAGAAAGTAAAAATGGACTAGTTAAGACGGAAAACACAGAAAACGCAGCAAGGTAGAAGCAACTGAAGCAGACCATGGTGTTACATAGACCATAAAGTAGCCTGTCAATGGAATGGGTCGGGAAATAAGCATTATCACCGAGAGTGGTGGATACGAAATTTTGCTACCGAGAATCACAGAATAATAGAAGTAGACACCACTTGCTAATGAACCGAAAAGGAGTCGTGCAACTGATAAACGACAACAAAGTGCACAGTAAATATCCAACAAACTGGGGAGTGTGATAGTAGCTGGTTCCATAGCTTCCGCGAAACTCCACGAGCCGAACAGATTAGGATCTGAGAACGCTGTCAAACGCAGCGTGAACGTGCGGGTATACATCCACAATGCGTGACTTTAGTGAGAGCTAAAAAACAAGTGGAAATGAAGAGTTAGCTGGTCGCGCAGCGCGGTAACATTTCATATCGTCAGGCATTTCAAGCGCAAGGACAACTGGAGACTGAATGCAATGTTGAGGCAAGTTGAACCCAAACAACTGCAGTCAACTACATGAAGCAAAGAAATTCACGAACGCCACAATCTCGTCAGACTACAAAAAAAGAACCACCATAATAAAAAACTCGAAGTCGAAAACAATAGTCGTGAGTAGTATGTCAGAAGTTCAGCAGATGGAAAATGATAAGAAAAATTATCATCGAGGGGTTTTACGCGTTGGTACGACCAATGGTTGTTAAAATTCAATGTAGTTAGCTCACAAGCACTCCTTCAGAGCTCTTCTAATTAGCTCCACTAAACGGACATTTTTGGTATCAAAAACCTTACCACAAGACTACCAAGCTCAGTATATAAGTCGATCACTTGTCACAGATAAGGACTTTTTGGGCAGTGGAAGTTAAAAAAACATCGAAAGTTAGTCAGCTAGAATACAAGGACGGAAATCCGCGGCTTCAGTTTTAGCTTTAGGTTGGGCGTTGTGGTTCGTGTTGCTTTGTTGAATTAGGGGGAAAGTGAACCAAAAAGTTACTACCGATTTTTTTCCATTACAGGAGGTCGTGAAGTTATGATCTACGCTCTTCGGAGTCACGTTTGAAACTCGATAGGAGGATGCTCTCCGGTTTCCATACATGGGCTGAACTGAAAACGACGTCAGGAATGTAGCTGAACCATGATCAGTGAAACGAGCCTGAATGCGAAAAGCATGCAGACGCTACACAAGTCTGACAAGAAAACTCAAATAGGGCTGGTAGTAATTGCCATGCGCCAAAGAAGAAGACTCACTACACACGAACAATTACAGGGTAACGTTTTTCGGCCCTTTAGGACTGATAGAATGTGAACGACTATAAAATAAGTCCACTGCTCACAACGGTTTCATAGCAAGATTCCACTTCAATGCTTCACCTAGAACAGCCAGGCATAAAGGCTCGCCGGCAATGAAACAGAGTCCAGAGTGTTTAGGAGGACCATCGTTAAGAGGTGTCAAATACTCACCGTGAAGGTTGGATTGCCCGGTTGAATTTTGAGTTCTGCGAGTACCCAGATGTTGTTCGTGGTTTTCATAGTCAAGTAGAGCATGTCCTGTCCGTCTACGTTGCGCTTGGCGACGGTGAAAATATTGTTTTGCTGTAGCTTTCGACTGCAGGCATCTGTAAAGAAAACAGACATAGGTTCTCCAATCTGATTCATCAACCTAAGGAAACCGGTTAAAAAAAGTGTCTTACTAAATCGACTGTTTTACGGCGAGCGGGAGGTACTGAATAATTACGAAATGTGCACGCGATTCGCTTGATTGACGAGCCATAAGTAACCGTACAGACCAGTATGTCATCGTATCCCCAAGAAATACTATGTGGAGAGAGACCAACTGACCTCTCCTGAGGACCGCACATTAGGCCTCGTTGACAGGGGAAGATGCCACGAACTTCTAAAATATGACCTCTCTTCAGGGAGTCTCTAGTTGAGGAGTACCGTATTGATTCGTCAAATGGGCAAAAGATTCCTTGCTGAATTTCCGGAAGTACGACCCAAACAGAATTGAAGAAACCACTGAACTCTAACATGAGCTGAGGCCATTATTACTGAAATTGGCACCGCTCAACCATCTCTTAAATGAAGTACTGTGATGAAAACAAGAATAAAGTGGGAATGGGTCCAGCACCAATCTGCCAGCGGGAGAGCAGGATCACTAATATCTTACAGTCCCCAACCCAATGAATCTTATCCCGGGGAACCGATCACACCAAAAGCGGAGCGTACATCTCGTTTCCGTTTGACAATTTGTACTTCATTGGTCCCTTAGTTTGTGCCAACCCGAGTTCTGTGCAAAACATGACACCACTTTCGACGTGGGTGGCACACAACTGAGTCAACGTAGCCTGCAATGTTGAGCAAGCTTACAACTGCCTGTGGCCTCAACATGTCTCTTGATCACTTCATTGTGAACTCTCTGGAGTCAGTCTACGGTCGCAGATACGGAAATCCTGAAACGCCTCACAACAACGCACCATCTTTTATTGAGTTACAGGGAATACGTTGAAGGATTTCGTGTCCTGGATCATGAGTTTACGCTGTAGCATACACGGAAAATAGGATGGCTCTATAGGCACATGCACTTTCCCTTCCATTTGAAAAAAGTTAATAATGCTGTCTCCACATTCCTGGCCAATGAGGCCCAATTTCGCAATAGTTTGGACACCGTCTAGCCGCCGCCGCCGCATGACAGAGAGAAACAGAAAGGGTGAAAATCCGTATCAGCCGTCACCATTTATACGGAGGCCTGTGGATGTTCTCTCATAATTTCATGCCGATAAGTAGCTAAACAAGACTTAATGAGATAGACACTGCTAATCAGCGTATTTAAAGTCCTCTAATAGCCGTAGGGAGTAAGTGTTTTGAGGACGAGTTACTGCATTGTCTTCTATAGGTGCACCCACATGATCCGCTCAACGGAGTCACCGCCGTGTAAGTCGGTCAAATTAACGATCGCCAATTTCGAGCCAGAGAGGTGAACCGTGCAAGACCTGAGGGCATCACCGCAGCTGTTGGACATGGGAACAGAAAAAAAGGTGGGGCTGCAGCGACTGCGGCTGCATCGGTACTGGTCGCATTGAATTTGGTCGGCAGCCAACAAACAGCATGATCCGTCCGCAGACAAAGTTACTCAGATCCAGTCTAGATTTCCTTGATTATCGGATAGCTGCTAACTGCTACAAGTGACCTTCTGTGACCATCGCCGTACAGATCAGAACCTAAGAAAATGCCCCAGCACACTGGACGAATGATGACTAGGTACAGAACACCAGACGGATAAATTCTGGGCTCGATTTATTAGTAATGCAGCCCAAAGTCTTTCCACAATGGACACCATTCGGTTCAGCTGTTAGGCTGTTCCCATCTAAGTCAAAAAAGCCCTCGGACAATCCATAGCTTTAAGCCTACACCGGTATATATATATATATATATATATAAGCATCGAAATGTCCCCGAAAACAGTATACTCCTACGGCTGCGAAATGACTGTCAAAATTATCTGCATTGAGAGATATGGCACCCCCTAAGAGGATGGTCTCGAAGAAGGGGACGGCCTCATCTCTCCGGCAGGAAACGTCTGTAAACTCCTAATAGAAGAAACAGTTTGGTTCATTGGGATATACGATCGACCNGACAATACATATCTATAAGCCCACACCGGTATATATATATATATATATATATATATATATATATATATAAGCATCGAAATGTCCCCGAAAACAGTATACTCCTACGGCTGCGAAATGACTGTCAAAATTATCTGCATTGAGAGATATGGCACCCCCTAAGAGGATGGTCTCGAAGAAGGGGACGGCCTCATCTCTCCGGCAGGAAACGTCTGTAAACTCCTAATAGAAGAAACAGTTTGGTTCATTGGGATATACGATCGATCATCCGTGTAGTACACGGCGTTCACTGCTGAATACGCACACGGCAGCTTAGGTGGGGCTATAAATCAAGTTTGTGTGCCTGTTCAAAAATACCCGAACTTTATGGCGTCGAAAGTGGATAATGCCGCTTAACTGTGCTCAAAGTCAGAAGGACAACATACGCACAGGTCGAGGTCACTGATCAGGCTCCTCGTGTACTCTTGAAGTCTAACTCAACATGATCCAGAGCATCTTCACGCTCGAGGACGGTCCAGAGACTGCTGTGCCCCCTCCCTCCGAAAAAAACTAGAAGCTGTTTCCCTCATCACGAAAGAGATCGGTCAAGAAACGAGGGAAAATACAACTGATTCTATAGTAGCCTAGATCTACCACATTATCAAAAATGGTCACAAATTTCAACAAAAGCATTTGAAAACATTGCCACAGTGAAAAACAAACAAAATCTCTATCAAGGAAGTGGACTTTTAATTTCCGGGTGAACTCGACTAATGGTGAGATGATGGAGTAAATCAAACAGCCATTTTGCGAATAATTGTACATTCAGTTGAGTTAAGCCCGCCATTACCACACCCAAAGTTCAAACGCTGGATGATTCAGTTCATGGGACTGAGCAACAAGGATTATCGTATCAGGCAGCTACACTGGACAACAGTTCTACACGTACAGATTCAAGATCATCCCGCAGAACTAAGAAGTGAAAACAGGTAGACAACAGACGCAAAACCCGAATTAGCTAAAGGGTCGCGGCGAAGGCATTCGAACGTGCTCGATGGTTCGTTCATTGAATATCCTACAGCTAGTAAACAGGAACGAAACTACACATAGGTACAACATAGGCGCGAAAAATCACTTTTCATTCCGTTGTACTTGACGTTGCTTTCTAATCAAATCAATCAGTAAAACCATGTCAGTTTGCTTCTTGGATTAGCATATATGAAATGTGTACGGAAAAATTGCAACTGTGGGGAGCTTGTGCCCCCAATGTGTGCTTTCAAGAGTGCTCTTTCGGTTGGTCCTGATTATGCACTATGCACAACGGAACCGAAATTCGGGAACTAGACCGTAAACTTTTATGGAATCTCCACAAAAATTCCCAAATCTCCTCACACTAACAACAACAAAAATTGTGAACTGTCCACACGAGTACATTTGCATCAGAAAACATTTGTAATCGATAAACACTGTAAGAGCAAAACCGTATTTAACCAGCGGTCGTGAGGAGATGTTTAGACTTCGTCGGACTGCTTTAACCAATGAGGGATAAGGGGTACTTAATAGAAAAGATTTTAAAGAACAGGTAGACCATTAAATGAGACTATGACTTGATACACACAACGGAATCGGAAAATCAGGAGAGAATAACAATTAGCATCGATGCACTGCCGAGCACATCTGATTAGCAATTCCGAAGCGCAAGACAGACAAGGGTTGATACACACGTGAACACAGGATGCCGAAAAAGCAGAAAAATGTTCAGCTGTAGCACCCTTTCCACGCACAGCTGTTATGCAACCTGAGGTGGGCATGGATAAGACAAAACAGCAAACTGCGCGGGCCCGGATAACAGTAATCGAAAACCAGTGATGGGTCCAAATTATGGGAATATTGTGTTCTAACCTCTGAGTCTTCCGACGCGACGAAACAGGTACATAGCAGTAAGTAAAAGACTTACCTGCATTCAAATTGATCTGATTCAAAGTGAATTGCCTTTCACTGTCACTTGGGATGTCCTTCCATGTGGCCAAGAACACACGTTTCTCCATATCACCCTCCTCCACGAAAAGTACATGCATTGGGACTGAGGTTGCAAAGTAGAGTACATCTACATTGTTTTTCACCGCAATCTATCGGGTTTGAATTAGGAAAAAGAGTAGAGTGAGTACGTTTAAGCATCTCTTGTTCATTAGGCTATGTTTAATTTCTAAAAGAAACTTACCTGCAACATCATCAATGGTTCCATTTTCGCCATTACGCCAGCAGTGGATAGTGGCAGGGTGACAGTAATAGACTGGCGAGGAGCTAATGGAGAATTGATCGACAATGGTTGGGCAGGTTTCAAACCAAAGCTGTTCTTATTAAACTGAATGGCGAAACCGGACATCGGACTGAGGGAGTGGTTTGTGAACATCAGTTTCATGTTGATCAACCCGGGGTTCGTTTGACGGACAAAAGTACCTTGAATTTCGAGTCCCTTTCCGCGACCGGCCTCGAGCCACATTGCCATAGGAGGCTCGTAACCAAAAGAGTTCGTTGCAGAGGTTGTTTCCAAACCACCAAAAATATCCGCCAACGTATCCACTGCAGAGGAGCCTGCAGCTGTTTGAGAAATAGACAATGATGGATTCAGTCGGTAATTTATGCAAACTACTGGTTAAAGGTAACCAGTCAAGATCCGTCTGAAATTTGCGTGAGTGCCAGTGATTGAAAGAAATGTTACATCGACAGTAATAATACCAGAGGACCGTAATTTCGCACGAAGGCCAAGTTATTCATGAGTAAATTTGTGCACAAACCAAACTCGAGCATTGAAAAGTAGACCCGGATATAAAGCGGTTGCCCCAACAGCTTTAGTCGATTAATCCCTTGGAATTCAGTAAACTGAAAAAAACTGGTTTGACTACACGTGTATTATTTTCTTCCCATCGCGATTCATTCAACTAAGAGGGCCTACCGTCATCTCTACCAGCAGCACTTTCCACCCATTGTAGCGTGTAAGGATATCGGTATCAGTACCACGCTTAAGCATGGTACTACATCGGAAAGTGCGTTCGAGAGACTTTTATCTAAAGAGAAAAAGATTTGGCTGCTACATCAAGGTGAACCAGTTAGGAAGAACAGACTTCTTGCAGCTGATGAAGAGGGATGAAATCAAACTGTTACCATCTTGAAAATATGGTATTAAGCTAGGGATTACTATGAGCTCAAGGATAACACATAAGGGTACTGAACCGTTCAGCTGTAGCACCCTTTCGGTGCCTACCTGCCATGCCACCCGAAGGTTGCACGAGGGCTGGGATACTGCCGAGTCACCCAAGCCTAGACAGGGAAAGTCGAAATGCGGAGGTCGGCTTCGAACCACGAACTTTCCGGTCAGTAAATTCGCGCTCTACCTACTTGGGCCATCTCACCCCCTGAGGGTACTGAACAAACAGTGGAAGTATTCTGGACGACTTCTACAGGATACGTGAAAGTGACTAAACCTTGAAACTGCATGGACAAGAGCCCTGAGCTGCCAAAGCTCTACGTTGTACATTGAAGGATAAACGGTCCGTCTCCTATAGCTTCGGTTGTACAAATGTTCCCAATGATATCTGTCCCCTATTACACACAAGGAAACACATGCTGCGCATGGATTGCTGTAAAGGTGTGAATCAGCCGATTCGGAAACAGTACCTTGCAAAACGAAGTTAGTTGTCTTTAGATGTTTAACAACGAGGAAAAATAACCAATCTGCTTGCTACAATCACTGTTTGTGACAACCTGTGTATGCAGCTCGGCTACACGAATGAAATAGGAACTTCGGACTGTGGTTGCGGAGTCAAATCTCCAAGTACCTTACAGATGCGTGCGTAACGCAAGTGCGTGTACACATGAGGCAGTTGAAAAGATTTTACAACTCACGCGCTGCGAAGGGTGCAGACCCATGAGCAGTAGAACCGACAGAAGGAAGCAAATCATCAAGACCGTCACCAAGCAGGTCAGATATTCCGGTACGACCAGGCTCATTCAACATCGCACCCGCAAACTGAGATGCAGGAGTATCGTAGGCAGACGGTTTAGCACCGATATCCATATCTAACAAGTCACCAATTAGGGTTTCCTGAAATAAACAGCATCGGTTTCGTAGTTTTAAAAAATGGTATCAAGGATATAAAGGGATAGTTCGTTAGAGGGGAATGGCATCGAACAGTGTACATAGTCTTTAGCGCTAATTTGTGGTGCGCTAACTTGTGTAGTGTTTACTAAAACTAGCAGACAAAAGTGCACTATAAAATCGATGCAGGCAACGTATATTAATAACACCGGTTAACATGAAGTCCACAGCAGAGTCCGTAAACGGAATGAGAATATAATGAGTCACACATTACAGAAGGATTCAGTAACTTCCCTACGACTGTAGTTAGATCGATGCTAAATTTTAAAGCAATGCTCCTTGCGAAAAGCAGCACAACATTCCCACCCATCTGTAGAGACCAGTTGGCGAGATGAGAGTAAATTGGTTCCAACGATCTTATCAAAAGCTGTGGACAAAACAGTCGGCGAGAGATTCAGACGAATTCGCCAGCGGAATCCATTTTGAGTGTTATCGTCGTACTGCTCGGGAACCTATTACAACTACGCTGGGCGGAGAGCGAAAAAGTCTCGTTGCCGGGTTACTTGAGGGTAATTTAAATCTTTAAGGTGAAAAAAGGATAGTATATGGTGTCAACCGGAGGATGGACAAATTGTACATTCAGACACTGAAATAAGCAGCAGCGATGTGATGGACCAAGTAACAGACTGTGGAATTTGTGGCGTAAAATAGGCGTAACAGAATTTAGCAAGAATAGGATGTCATGATGAAGCTAAATAGTCTACAGGACCCACAGTGCCTTTCTCTAAGCAACAAATGACTTAGATAATCAATTGCTCTTTTGCGAGAATCAACACAGCAGTAGGGGATAATCAGCTTACCCCGTGATGATCGTTGATATATATGCCGAATAATGAAAAACAATACCTGGATAGAAAGATCGATGGATCCCTAAAACTGATAGTTTGATCGATGAAATGCCAGTTGCCTAAGGCCTCCACAACAACCCATTAACAGGCTATGGACATCATCATCATCATCAACGACAGCATGACATCAGGGCCACTGTTTGTGTTGTCATCGGCAAGGTCAGCTAACAACTTCTATGCACTTCTGGGTTCGATAGTAAATGTCGAAACCTTTAGGCTGTCTAGGATCTACGGGACATGAGCCAACAGTCGATCAGCATCTGCAGAAGCCTTGTCATCGACCGACATGTACAGGAAGCTACGAGACAAGACGAAGAGTTCGTTAATCTTCACACAAGAGACAGGAGAAGTAGAATTATTGAGGAAAATACCCCGATGATGGATGAGCCACTAAAGGAGTACGATAGGTAACAGAATCGCCGGAACTACGTGCAAAGGACCGCCAGGAATGGGTGGTTGGACTCCGTTCACTGGAAGCAAAGCTGAATGTAACAGGTAGACGTCACAGAAAAACGGGTAGCTAATGTAGGTTTACCTCTAGATGACTGTTCAGTGAACCGTTTTCAAAAATGATGGTACGGTGGGCGTGCTTCGTCTGTTTATGGAATCTAGTGTGACAAGCGTCCTGCAGGAAGACGTTATGATGTTTTCTTTCGTCGCTGTTAACGTCCGCCATACAAAACAACCTGTTACTTCTTTCCAGTACTGAAAATCTGCAATCAGCAAATAGTGACGCTATCCAACTGGGGGCTCTGAACATTTTTGGGGTCTTTCTATCCTATGGACGATCAGAAACGTGACATCTCCAAAGCAAATCCATGCCTTCGCAGAAGTGGTTAGAGAAAAATCCGGGAAACCAGACCTCAAGACAACCTTTGGGTCCTCCTCCGATGTTGCCAACTCGAAACTACTTACATTTCATCGGCATCACCATCAAATACAGTTTGGACAGGTGTGCAGCTAAAAATTAAGGTGAACAGTGCACGAGGAGCTGTAGCCCACTGATGATAACCAAAACCTTGCTGTGAATTAGGCACCAAATTAAGGGGCATCCGAGCCCACAACAAGCATTTCTCAACCAAAGGGTTAAATAGAATCGATAAGGGTTCGCTGTGGAGTGTGACCATTTCAGTAGTGCAGTATTTTTATAAGCGTAATTGGACAACACTGACAAAGGGATGCTTCCTATGTGACTTGTATCAAGGAGGGGAGGTAAAGAGTGGCAGTCAGGCCGTTTATTGTACGGAAGAGTCATTGCACTTGGGTTTGCAATGCATCGCAATCAATTTGGTAACCAAAATTTGAAGAATAAGCCCAATGTTCCATTGTTCAAGAATAACGAAACGGTGTTCCAGGGACACTATTTGCAATGAAAATTGGCGATAGGCAGATTAAGGCGCGTGACTTTATGCTGACAGTAAGTACCAAGTCACCAAGTGAAGTTATTTAGAGTGAAGTTGTTTCCAAAGGATAGTAATATGGCCGTGCTTGATTTCCACCTGGCCTGTCCACTTAATATTCCACCAAAGTAAAGACACTATCAAACTAGGTCAATAAACCTAAACAAACCTGGGTAGGTATAACAGTCGGTGAAACTGTCTGTCCTCCGTCCCGCGCAGCCCCTTCCACTCCAGTCTGTCCAGACCGTGCTGGCAGTTGACGCCGGGTAGTATGACGCCCTTCCACGAAAGAGCTTGGAGGCCGGTGATACACACTCGCCAAGCTGGCTAGGTGGCAAATCAACTCGTCCAGAAGTGTTGGCTCCAACATGTCCGTTTCTTCAGAGATCAGCGGCTTCTCGGCCAATACCACCTCTTTTGCAGCAGCTGGATCGGTGGACAGAAGGCGCCAGTAGATGTAACCACGGTCTCGGAGATCTGGATTATCCGACTCTTGAGTGGCCAGTCCAAGAACTGTTTGAACTAGCTCCTAAAAGAGTTAAGAATCGATTAACCAAAATCACTCAGTCGTTTCAAGAGGCCAACCAACTAGTAGTGTCCCAGTTCAGATGGAAATGATAGCACCAAAAGACAGACAGATTCTCCCAGGAAAACAGTCATCTTTTGGTGGAATAAGCCTCATGGAGAGGAATAAAGCACCGGACAGCTCAAAAGTTAGGGAGTTCCCATCATGGTTGATATAATATCAAGCCACACCAAGATCTTTGGTTTATCTCATTTCAACTTTGAGCATCCATATGTTCAACACACCGCTGAAGATGAGTTATCAAGGAATTTACGGTCAATTTCGATTTATTATGACAAGAAATCATAAAAAGTAATCTTATGTACTTAATGGGTGCAGAACATTCGTCATCATCATTGCCAGAAATCGGAACACTTCAAGGCACGCTCGCCAAAAAATACAGCGACTGTGCACACTTCTCGCCACTTCTCGTCCTCACATTCAGGCATAATCCTACTCTTCAGTTCATCCACGGTACCAAAAAGCCTGTTTCAGTTGTCTGCTAACCCCGTCATTACACAGGTTAATGTACATACCCGTGTCCACGACAGTCTTAAAATCAATTATCCGAAACAGAAATAATGCTCTGATAGGGACATTACTACGAGAAGAAACCGCTTTCTCAACACGCCCTTCTCGGGATAACGGAACAGATGAGCATTCGATATTCCGATGTAGGAATCAACTGTGATTTTTTCGTCTGGTTTAGTCACGTGTCTGCCAGCCAAAGAAGCGGGATTCATTGTAAATTCTTTCCAACACTGTGCAAGTATCGAATGCAGCTGTCCGGACCGTCCCAATCGCATTATCGCATGACACTACTCTCCTCTGTTCGTAATAGGATTATGTACTTTTTCCAGCCAAGGGATCCACCTCGTTGGTATCACCATAAAAAACAAAATTAGTGTTAATCCTGTCTATTCCATGCTGTACAACCACAGGCTTTATTTTTATACAAAAAGATCTGAGACGAAAAAATACGCCCCTGTGGGTCAAGTAGAAAAGAATGACTTGCTTGCCAAACTAGACTCCTAAAATATATCCTGGCTTACCAAACGTGACTGGACATTTCCTAACGAAAAGGTCGGGTCGTGTGCTCCTTGTCGTTTTTTCTCTTGTTTCCTCTGCTTTCGGTGATTTCATTCATTATCTGATCAACTCTGACTAGCCCTAGTCCGTCTCAGTTGAGTCTACATAATGATTGCTTTAAACGCCCACCCTTATGTGGGGACCATTGAACAGAGCAGTTTTCCAAACTTACAAATTTATACATGTCTCCCGGCTCTGCATCACGTCTAAACTACCGTCATTCACCGAAAAACCCGCTCCGCGAAAGGTCATCTTGGAGTAACTTAGTCTCGATTATCTAGTAGCCACCCCTAGTTCCCTAATGAGCGTTCTCCGCCTCCGGGACAGTAGTAGGAGTGAGACTTTTCTCCTGAAACTTCAATTACAAGAATTTTTCTCCAAATTATCCACGCTTCTTAAACCATAGCCTTCAACTAAATTCTGGCCATTTAAACGTGGTCTCTAATTAATGAAGGCTATCTAAGTAAGCTTTCTTCGGTGTGCGCCTGCTCTACCGTTCCCACTACACTGATCCGAGGTGCAACCGAACTAAGCACTCTCTTACATTTAGGACGCTTTCCTCTCTTCTGCTCTTCTTCAAGTTCCTTTCGAACTTCAAATCTCCATGAATCGGGTTTAGCTGTCCAGGCCCGGATGGTGTTGGGCTGTGGTGCACCTGTTACTGTTGGTCTATATGTTGGGGAAATCCTTGTGGGTCTATTTACCCTGATTAAAGGCAGCTGAGGGATATCTCGTAAAAAGAAGTCACGTAATGTTCGTGACAGTACTCTCTATACCTAATAGTGCGAACAATCAAACAACTGATAGAGTTTATTATAAGCAGACTTCGCAGCATGGTCACATGGAACTTGAAGACGACTCTCCAAAATTTGTGCAACCATTTGAAGGTATAGATTAGATACAGAACGTCCGCCGTAATAGAAACTGGGCATAATTTAGCTCTTCTGTCCAATATGTCAGTTCCACTTTCGCGTGCTGATCACTGAAGCTAAGGGTTGAGCATTCAGCTTTGTTCACCGGTTTAACTCACTTGTCAAAGTGATGTACCAGAATATGACGTGGAAATAACCGCTAAAGTCAAAGAGAGGTTTAGGTGGTAGGTGGCGACGAAAACCAAGAAGCATTTCGTAAAGGCAAGACGAATCACAGTCTACGCATCAGAATGTTTGCAATTAGCCATAACTTCTTTCCTCAGAAAGGACCTTAACGAAATCAAATTCCACTAAAATATGGTAGTGAGGTATGCGTGCACAGTGACACGTATTAGGGATAAAATATGGATACCTGTCCGGCTAAAGTAGCGAAAGGTTAACGCTTCAAGATATGCGCTCGGAGCTTTCAAGTCATTAATCAAAGCTATCACGATATCGAGCGAAAATATGACGTGTCGGAAGACGAAAATGCTCATTCGTACCTGAGTATCCGAAGGTCGTTTGAGGAAAAGTTTAACGATCGCAGTGAGCAGTTGTAGCTGAACCTGGGCATTTTCGTCTTGGAACCCGTCCAGAAAAGAGGCCAAAAGTTCATCTGCGTTGTCGATACGTTCGGCGTATTCACCAATAATCCAAATCATTGAACCCCGGGCCTCCGGCTCATCTAGAGTATCCAAATTCTCACACAGTATGGATATGATACTTTCATATTTGTTTGGGTATTTACGAAAGATGTCCTGAAACACAAAAGCTGGAATATGAACCCTAAGTTCACTGAATATTATCTGTTTACATCTTATTTGGGCCATACGGCCAAAGTATGAATCTTCAATGTGCAATAGAAACTGGTGCATCGTATCTGAACAGCGTGAGGCCCGACTAGCATTAAAAAAAACATCAGCCATAAAATGGGCGATCAACGCGACGTTACCGAACCCTACTATAAAGAGCCTGAAGCTCGCAAGTGCAGCTGAAGTAAATTACGTACAAGGGGTGGAAATTAACTGGACACTGGAGAAACCGTTGGGACAAAAATCTCTAGTAACCAACCTTGATCACAATAATTGCTTCTTGCACAACATAGTTCACTTTTGTTTGGATCAGTTCGATCAAGGTGCTCACGCAACGCTCCGCAGCCGACTCTATCTTGATGGCACATCTACCGATTGCACGCACCGCTTTGCGAACGAAGTCCACATCAACTTCTTTCGCGTATTCTTTCAGCTCAGCCAAAACCTGACCAATATTGGACTGATTGATCAATCGGATCATGATGTCCAACTTTTCCAACTTCACGTAAATGGGATCGTTGTACTTTACGAAGAAGACCTTAAAAATGGGAGGAAAAGTTGCACTGCGGTAATGGTCATAACATCCAACTTCGGGTCATTGATAAAACAGGTTAATCCAGTCTGCTGGAAGGAAAACCGGCTAATACATTATATACCACAGGTAGTCCAGTTCCAAGCCTGGCTGTATGGAGCACGAAAAACAGGAGAAAACTAACATGAGGGAATTCACGGAAATAACAGAACGAGTACCTTCATCTCTTGCTTGAGGACATCCTTTCGTTTTTGAACGATAAGGTTGATGTTACGAAGAGCTACATACTGAATTTCCGGTTCCGCGGAGAGCAGAGTAACCAGGGGAGGAGCTAGCTTTCGTGTGACTGTGGATACAAGTTCTGCTTCGGGGTCAATGAGTTCAATCATTTTCATCACAACTTTGACTGTAGAGAGGACAACAGCAGCATTCGCATGTGCTAACCGAGGTGTTACACGTTCCACGATACTTTGTGCTTCCCGATCGTCCACAGGAGTGTAGTCGGCAATTGCATCCAAAATGAACACCTGACCCCATCTGAAACAAGTAAAACACACGGATGGATAAAAATAAGGTGTTCCTTGAAAGTATCACACAAAGCATCTTCCAATACCCCATGGGAAAACAGTAACGAACAAACGGGTTGCGCCACTACACCAGGCTGAAGGCTCTAAGTGAGTACAACCCCCGTCTGTCAAATTATTGGTGCTCCGATGGGACGGGTGACTAACCAGTGACCTTAAGCCACCTGTCAGAAGCTTCCGTTGGCCGGTCATAGATGTCAGGAACAGACTAGCTTATACCCTCAACTAACTGTTATCAAGCATTTGCTGTCGTAACTTCATTCCTCACATTGCAACTTTCGGTGCTGTTTTCACAAAGAATATCCTGACTTAAGGGCCCGTCCGCCTCCGTAGCCTTTCTATTGTGTTAAAAAGGTGGCGCATGTTAGTTATGTGCGGCACCCTTCAAGATATCGTCGGCGATTGAAGGACTACTAGCGCATACATAATTCAAACGAAGTACGATTGACTATGACGACTCTTCGCATCACGAACGTTTGTACACGAGGCGTGTTGAAGTTAAAAACAAGAGTGACCAGGGCAGTAGATTTGGATTGAATGAGTGTCTCACAAGACAGGTGATGTGAAAAGGCCACCCGCTGAAGCATCAGAGCACAAAACGCGCCTCAACTCATTCAAAAAGATAGTATTTTGTCGTATGAATCGAGGTACCTGTGGAGTTTCGAACAACCACTCACTGTTGTCTTTTTCGATCATCATTATAGATCGTTCAAGAGTAAATGAATGAAGTCGCACCAGTCGGTGGCGCATTGAAGCAGGACGAATTAGAAACCAGGCTCGACTAAAGACAGAAAGTTTAATTTTATCTGACGAGCACTTATCCTTCATATAAGCATTGAAACGAACATCGAGCCAGGATAGACGTGATCAAGTGGATGTGCGCACACCGACTGCGTGACATGTGGAAATATGTAGAAATCAGCAGTAATGATGCCTCGCTGCTTAATGAACAAGATCAATAATTCTGGTATGCAGCGGACGTTAAAAGCAGTGGGTCGAAATCTGTGTGGACCTCTGACCGGGGAAAACAGGACTAAGTTATCCTAAAATGGAGTCCGTGTATTTGAGAGAAAACACAATCAACGGTAGCAGTATCAGTGATAAAAACTCAGTGCTCGTCCCACTTCACATTAAGATTTCAGGCTCAAAAATGCTTGTTGAAAACGTCTGGGCCAAGTGGTCGCACCCCACACGATGGTAAACACCTAAAAAAAATCGTTCAGCTGTAGCACCCTTTCGGTGCCTAACTGCCATGCAACCCGAAGGATGCACGAGAGCTGGGATATTGCCAGGTTTCCCAAGCCTAGATAGGGGAAGTCGAGAGGCAGAGATCGAGTTCGATCCACGGATCTTTCGGTCAGTAAGTCCACGCTCTAACCACTGATCCATTTTGCCCCTATCTACAAGTTTGGGACGTCTCTCGAACAAAGTCTGTGGTGCAACTGTTTAGCTCACAGAATACTTTGCAAAACTTATTTTCGGCTGCAGAAAGACGCAGAATTAATGGGCGTTTGGTTGGGAAGTATTTTGCGGGAAGCAACGCTTACCCAACTTTCACCTGTGGCCCGGTATGCGCTCGCTTCATTCTCACTGCGATATGCGGTTCAAACGGGATGAGCCGAATTGTGAAGCGGACAAAACAAGTTGAAACAGTACCACCGGACGAAGTGAAAGGAACCTACTGAACATCTGACGGTTATTTTGGCAGGACTGAACCTCTCATTTGTGCATGCAAGCCCATGAATATCAAATCTAATGCCAATTAGTCGACATTAGGAGAACCCTGGTGTCTCACAGGTCACGCTTGGTTGTACAAAAGTTAGATGTACATCCAGAGAACAGAAGTGGCCGTCTATGAGTAACAACCTTGGTAGACCGTGAGCTGCTTCGTCAATTGTAACTTCATCCATGCAAGTCATTCAGCTGCAAAATCCTTTCGGTGCCTAGCTGCCATGCCACCCGAAAGAAGGACGAGGGCTGGGGTACTGTCAGGTTGCCCAAGCCTAGACAGGGAAAATCGAGAGGCAGAGGTCGTGTTCGAAACACGAACCTTCTGGTCAGTAAATTCGCGCTCCAACCACTGAGCAATACCACTTTCTAGCTGCGTCGTTGCCGATACACCGACAACAGCTTACAAAAAACAAGGTTCTGGGGTAATGGTGAACGAAGACCTGAAGAGGTCGTAGTTCCGCTGATCGAACAAACCGAGTTACACAGACATGCGGCAAGGAAACATGCAACACAGCCTGACACAAACCAGACATATATCGATTTAACCACAAAATTATGGTCTAAAATTGGATGACGTGACTCGAGCCCTATAGATTCGTCTTTCGACTTCATCTGTCACATTAGTCCGAATTATTAAAACTTCCAAGACACGTGAAACGCCCCACAACCTCCAGTGTCCCATTTGTATTTTAAGTGGCGTGTTCAAGGACGTGTACGGAGCGGCCCGTGAATGAACAGCTGTGAAGACCAGTGAGTGACCAATCTGAGGGAGGTTTGGCTCAGGTGCTCAATCACGAGCCTTTGATTTTAAAGTCCGAACCACAAAGCGGTGGGGAAAGGTAAGTTTTTGTTTGCGACCCTACACCGACCCTCTGGCTTGAAGATTTGGATCACGAGACAGCGGTTGTTGATTTTTTAGGAGGTACATCCCACAGTTAATGACTCAATAGTCCGACCCACACGGTTGCAGGAGGTATGACCTGGCCCCAGGTATGGAAGTCCGACATTTGGTGTTGCTGCACACAAGATGCATGAGTTTTTGTTTGCGACCCTACCCCGACCCTCTGGCTTGAAGATTTGGACCACGAGAGAGCGGTTGTTGATTTTTTAGGAGGTACATCCCACAGTTAATGACTCAATAGTCCGACCCACACGGCTGCAGGAGGTATGACCTGGCCCCAGGTATGGAAGTCCGACATTTGGTGTTGCTGCACACAAGATGCATTTAAAGCCGCTTCGGTTCCGTAGCAATGTTTATTCGTTTTTCGACCACACTGAATGGTTCAATGATGGTCACAGTTAACCGCGTGATCCGAGTGTCACCAGCATCATCATTGTCAGGGAGATCAAGGTTTGCATTTCATTCGCCCGTGCTGTTGCAGGAGGCCAGTTGAACTGTTCTTCGAAGTGTTCGGCCCATCTTTCCAGTCGATGTTTTCGCGAGTGTACTAATGAGCTATTTTTATACTTATCGTTTCGCTGACCATTGCTTTCCTAGGGCCAGTAGATCGTACCAGTTGATATAGGGCACGACTGTTTCCCGTAGCAAAGGCCTTCTCCATCTCCCGGGGCTTTCGATGTCCACCAAAGCTCTCGGTCTTTCCTAAAACCCTTCACAGTTTGGTGTTTGATGAATTTGCGTGCACCGTCGAACTCGTTGCTAGCTGCTATGGCTTCCTGGCATCCATCATGGATAGCGATCTCGATGACATCCAGTGGTCTTGTGGTGAAATTGGAGAAGTCGAACAGACAACACTGAATGCCGCTAAAATAGCTCCTTTCACATTTTGCCACGCTTCATCCACATGTTCACTGCCACAACGGTGTGGGTTTACTGTGGAGAGTTGTTGGGCTAGCTCAGATCGATAGCGTTGAGCTATGGTAGTTCTTCGAAGATAGTGGATTGGCGTGCTTCTTGCCGACTTACGAGGGCCTGAATGGAAACGAACTGTCAGGTGTGCACGAAACATGGCGTGATCGGAATCAAGTGATATGCCCCTGAAGGAACGGAAGGCTTGAATTGTCGCTCTCCACCGGTGGCCGATGGCCACGTGGTCCGACTGGGTCCACGACTGATTTGTAGTTTGGTGGCCACCGGGTTACGCGGTGCGAACGTTTATGTTGAAAGTTTGTACTTGCCAGAAACAGTTCGTGATCAGCACACAACTGATGGAGTCGGTCTCCGTTATTTGCGCGGCGAGCATCGACTCCGAATCGACCACCCAAATGTGATTCCAAAGAGCTCAGACGACCTACTTGAACATTCAAATCGCCTGCAAGGATCACAATGTCAGTGCTTTTTGCCTGGAGAATGAGCCCGGATAGCTCTTGATAGAAAGCATCCTTCTCCGCATCAGAACTGCAGTCTGTTGGGGCATAAGCCGACACTACAAACAGGCACAGACACATGCCGAGACATTGAGCTTGATTGAACTGGATAACCGGACAGCGCAAAGGCGGCTGTTCACTGGGATCCAATCCAGCAAAGCACGTTCAGCTCTGGGGTTGAGTGCCATTCCCACGTCATACATTCCACGAGTCATCGCTTCTGGGTCACCGAACACACGGAGGGAGAAATGTGAAAGAGCTGAGTTCATCCTTGGCGTTATGAGATGCATAACCACGCTCGGGTTTCAGCAAGCATTGCCTGTTTGCCAATTTGACACAGAGTATGGACGTTAAAAGCTCCTATATAGAAAGGATCTCGTGGATTAAGAGGTGTTATTTTGTGTAATGTTTGCAGGCAGCGACGAGCATAAGGCCCGTCGGTCAGATAACTGACAGTCAAATGGCCCAGTGACGGTGGGAAGGGGTTGGGGAGGGACACCGAACTGCGCGGACAAACGATACTTCCCGGTTGCCCACGCCGAGGAAGGGGGTTTGGTTGAGGTATCCCACCTGGAGCCGTTGACTCAGAAGTCCGACTCACAAGGCAGTGGGAGGACGTGGGGTTTTGTTTGGGGACCCTGCCTCTAGCCTCGGGCTCAAAGTCTGACCCACGAGGCAGCGGACAGTAGGGTTTACTTTGGGCACCCTTCACGGAGCCGATGACCCAACAGTCTGACCTGCTCGGCAGCAGGGAGTCGGCCTAAACCGAGGGCGCAGGGAGTTAGACACTACTGCCTCATTCCTGATGCGCCTGCGCATAGTAGATGCCTATTGAGCAGCACCGGGCTCTTTGGATTTAAAAGTATTTCGACCGTATTGGATAGTGCGCCGGCGGTCACGGTCAACCGCTGGGCGATCGGAGTTCGCGGTTTTTTGGGCCGACCTTTTCTAACCCGTCCTTCCTCGGGGAAAGGCAACATCGCTTCTTCCATAGATATGGACACACCTCACTGCTTCACACTCCTGTCGCAGAGGACAGCACGACTTCATCGCCAGACCGCCTCGCAGCACGATTACTCGTAGTACGGGGTCTCGCTGCTCTCCTTTGGCTTCCCTGGCATGGGTGCACCTTGTGGAACGAAGTTCCAGTCAGTGTAGCCCACGGAATAATTGCAGCATTGAAGCCCGACCACCACGTCAAGTTGGCAGCTTTAGGTCGGGGCGACCGGGTCGGTAGTGTTTCTCATTTCGCCCTTCCTCAGGGGAGGCCAGCATCCATTCAGATGGGAATGCTGGCCATCTGAAACATTCTATCGTCTTTCCACTTGTCGTGGATAAGTATTCACCTCGTAACACGACTTTTCGTAGAACGGGGACTAGCTTCTCTTCATCAGACCGCTAATTTTAGCCTTCCATGCACGGTGGGAAATTGAGGAACTAAATTCCAGCCGGTGTAAACCGCGGGAAAACTGCAGCACTGAAGCTCGACTACCAACACAAGGTGATAACTTCAAGTCTGGAGATACGTACTAATCAATCTGCCAATTGGCTACCAAACATGGGTAAATATTTGTGGAGGGTTACTGGAATTGTGGCTGTACAAAACAACTATTAAATAAAAATTATAACATCCAACGAGACGTGCCTATGAATGTGACTACAGATGGAACTTACTCAGTGCATTCATTGAGCGCTGTGAGCAACTTGTTGATTACCGGTCCGTCAAAAGTGAGCAAAGATCTCGCTTGATCCGAAACAGTCGATTCCAAAATTTCGGAAATCGAGGCCACGGCGTTTGCTACAACCATGGGATTACTGTCACACAGTAAATCTCGGAGCAATTCAAGAAAACCACTGTCTTCTACTAGTTCAGCGTCAATATCATGAAGTTTGGCGACACAAACAGCTGCAGTTTTTCGAACATATGGGTCTTCGTCTTTGAGACACTTTCTCAAGGGATCGCAAAGATACGCCGTTATTTTATCCACGCGAATACAGCCCATAGTTCTGACAGCAAGCGCGCGAATCAATGGATTGGGGTCATCACAATCCTTAGGATGTGAATAAGCGTCAAATTACTGCTTACCTTAACAAAGGTATTTACTGCCATTATTGCAGTGTCCGGTTGAGTTTTCGCGTAGTTCATGAGATAGAGATAGACGAGTTTCTTCAATTCTAGGTTGTCCGTTTGCATGCAGTTGATAACATCAGGGAATAGAGCACTAGGTATTAGGCAGATGATGTGAGGAGGAATACCTGACATCTTTTCCAACGGTCATACTAGCGATAACTTTTTTCACTGCTTCCTTTTTCTTATCCCTTCTCTCACTATTTAGCTCTGCTTTCAGTTCAAATATCTCCCCTAAGGATAACAAATAAGGAAAATTAGCATCAAGCACCTTTCTTAGTGGTAGTGAAATACTTCGCATCCGTTGGTTTCGATTGCGCAGTTACTTTCTGCAGCCACGGTCTAAGGTGGAACTAGACGCAACCTGAATTGCTTACTTGATATTGCCGAGTGTATCGGTTACGGAAGCAGCGACACCCTGCATCCTGACAATACGCGGAAAGCGAAACTGGCGCGACCTTCACACTAAAATGAGCGCCTTCTGGATATTGATACTCTGTGTGAATCTAGTATACTTTTACTTATACATGGCTTCACGGAATCACTTATTATTATCCATTATCAATGCTTAGGTTCTCGGATATAGTTTTTCCCTGCTGTTCAGCGGCTTTTGACCATAAACGGAAGGTTCCCCCTTGGCTGGCAGATGCTCGTTCTCTCGAAACCTTAATGTGCTGAAAAAATTTACGTAAAAGTATTACATTTCGTTGTTTTTATACTACTACCGAAAGGCGCCTTAAACTGTTTCTAGTTGTTGGGGGGTTTGTTTTACCTAATCTGATCTCCCTTCCTTACATTTGGCGCGCCTTCCAGTTTCAGAGTTGGAGTGCTACGGTTCCAGGCCGAGCATAAGAAGGACACCCAAAATTCCTCTTGAACCGGACGCTGAAGGAGGTAATCTTTAACATAAATTTATTGCATCCGATGGTACATATTCCTGCCTTTAAAATCTCCACATGACGTCGCAGTTTTCTCAGAAGTAATTCGAAGGAACTCAGAGTCCGCTGTGGGCGCTGAATTCGTAGCTTAATGGCTGTCGGTGGCTTCGCGCAATGTGCCTGTGAAAACGGTGGGTAGTTCTGTGGAAAAGCTGGGTGCTTCACGTATTGAATTTGGAAGTGAACTCAAAGGCACCCAGACAATCATCACAACATTTACGTGGTCCCAAACTCAAAATGAAGCGGCCATTCGCGACCTCTATATGAAAAATTCTACGGTTGCGGCAAGCGTCCCGTGGAAGTCAAGGAATTCGTCACAGCTAGTAAGTTTCTGTTCTTTTATTATGTTCAGCATATGTCGTATCTGCTGAAAGGCCAGGTTTCATCTGCAGCGATGTACATGGCCACCGATCGTGCCGTTGAATGAACTATTGGGTTAGTGGGCCGAGCAAACAGATGGCACAATGTGGTTGTCACTGCTTTCAAGTCCTTGAGAAATTAAACGGCCCGAGACGGTCTCATGAGTGCAGGTAACCCACACGCCTGGGAAATACTAGAGAAATGGTGAACTACGGACAGACTGGATGCGGTTGTCGCGGTACCGTCATTGCGACGCCGTACTTAGGTTCACTAATAGCTCCGTCTATAAACATCTTGGATGAAATGTTTTGGGTTGTCATTGTAGGTAGGCTATTTTTGGGTACATTGAGAGGCAAGGTGGTAGATTGCTGTCATTGAAATGAGGCAATAAGACAGCCATGTCTATATTGGAGACTCAAAATGGTAAAAGGTGTCTGAAATGCCTGCTAGAAAGCACTTTGATGTGAGTTAGAGTGCCACCCGAGATGACAGACAGTCAAAAGTTATCACAATTCCTAACTACATTAATGATGCGACACGGCTTGATTTAAAAAACGATGGTCGATATTCAGGTGCAGGCTATAGTTATGCAGTTGATGGGAACTGATGTGGGCAGATTTGATTCTGAGGGACGTGCGTGTGCAACTAAGGTAGCTCGGAGCCTGCAGAGACATTAGCTATGCGAGGTCTGGTGATGTTGCGTGCTTGTTCAATGAGTTGACTTCAGGATGGAGCCTCAGAATCACCTAAAGAAAAGCGTGGGACTTTGCAGAACCAGTTGCCTCTGAGGCGTCATATCGTATGTATTTGGTGGGTCTCTGTTAAAATTTTGGCTCTTCTGTCACTGAATTTCTCGATTCCTAAAGGGATTGCTTGGGATATATGCCACAACCAGGCAAACGCAAACCGAAAACACAGCCGTCCGACAAACGCTGCTACCATTTTGGTGCTCCCTTTCTTCATTGGAGGAGGCGGTTATTGACATGCGAAAGGAGTATCTTTGGGGAGATGGCGTGCAGTTGAAGTGGGAGTTGTTGGCCGTGAAATCTTTTACATCGTCTTGAACAAGAGGTGAGGTAAGTGCTGAGATGTTACGGAAAGTTTAGGGAACTCCAAAAGCTTTCACACGCAAAGCGGTGTCCGTCGAGGGCGCCATTTTCTACTCCTACTTAATTTCGTGATCAACGAGATAATGCGATGGACGCTAGAATGTCTTCCGTTTTTAAATATCTCTTGGCAAAAATCTTGTCGATCTGGAGTATGCAGACATCGTTCTCACTTTCGAAAAGGAGGAAAGGGCGCAGGTGTATTTGGATGAAGTGACCAAAGTTATCCCATCCATTGTACCCAGAAAGTTTCAGGTCATCATAATAATTTTTATTTCCAACCTGTGGGTGGTGTACCATCAGGCACGATCATAAGGTTACAGTCAGATTAAGTGTGAGTTTGTTCTTAGTTGCAGGCGATGGAACAAGTGGGTGATAGGGTACAGTCAAGAGAAAGAAAGGCATAGTTGCAGGTGTGCTATCAAACTGGGTATAGCAGTGACATGCCATCATAGCGCTGAAATACTTCGGTTTCTGGACAACTTGCTACGGACGCCACTTTTGAGTTGATCAGGCTGGGATGTGCTATTCAGTGAGGAGGGAGATATTTTTGGTTGGCCGAGGGAATCCTTAGAGGTAGAACAAGGCTTACGTAAGATCTCAGGTATTTTTATGGTCGGGTTTTAGACCGCTGTAGGTGCAAATCGCAAGCCAGATAGAATGGATAACGCGCAAGTAGGGCGTTTAAAGCAGGTATTACAGAAGTCCGAAGCTTCGGTAGACGAGGGAATGGGTGAGACCAATAGAGCCCAGTGATATTGAAAAAACATCTGATGGGATAGAGTACATTCAATTCAACTTTAATTTGTCAGCTATAAAACGCGTGCCATAGGCACACTGGTTCCAGGTGCTACAGCTTCGATCACCGAGGCAAGCAACCAAGCCCAGAAGGCGAAAGCAAATTCAGTTTGATCAGGGTAGATACGCATTGAATGCGATAGCTTTGATGCACAAGCGCCGCTGACTGTGAGATTGAGCCGATTCCGCCAACGTCATCAACCACTGGTGTTTTGAGTCCCGGGGTGCCCCCCAGGGAGGCCGCATTTGATCACCTGACTAAGCTTGGTGGTAAATGTTTTTGTACTTCGTTGCCAGGTCATTCTCCGTCCACCTATCGGTCGCTTTTACTCAAAACAGAGCTGAGAGTGAAAACTCTGTGAAGTAGACGGTCTTCTGGCATGTTAAGTGCATGTCCAAACCAGCACAACCTATGAAGCGTGAGTAATTCATCTATCGCGAGAGAGTGCTGTCTTCCTAAAACCATCTGGCGTACCTCAGCATTACTAGTCCGACGCTCCTACCAGACCTGACTAATGCTGCGGAGACATCGATAATGAAGGATTAGCATCTTCCATAGAGTGAATTAATAGAGAGAGAAAACCTAACGTTTACCGAAACGGTGGTGGTGGCAACGAGTGATTTAACGAGGACAGGGTACGCCTGTACTCGGCAAACCAGCGGTCAAGCACGAATTGACTTTGTTAATATATGCTATTATAGCACCAAGGATCTAGAGCGAACCGGTACAAGCACGCAAAGAGGCAGTGTGGTGCAGCGTTTTATATAAATTTGAAGTTGAATTAGTATTGGTCGCAGTGTGACAGATGAGGTCAATGCACGAACCTGCAAGACTAGGGTCGCGCTTACTAATTAGGAACACCTATGGCGTCCAAGCTGTAGATCCGTTAATATCAAGTAACGCGTGCATCGGGCTGCAGTACGGGCTGTTCCGTTGTATGGCTGAGAATTTGTCTATTTGAAGGGCGGAATCACGGTGTTTTTAGGTGTTTGACAGCGGTTGTCTCAAAACTATAGCTCGCGTGGGTCAGTGTCGCCGAATACTTAAGGTGACAGTTAGTTATCGGATTTTCGGTAGTGTACCTTGCAGCGTGGTTGCAGTCTCCGGCCAGATCTAAGACAGCTGGAGCACATCAGGTTCAGTTATCTTACTAACTCATTTATCCGGATATATTCGACATGGTTTCGGGAATGAAGATGGGTCACAATATTTTGACATGAACGATGAGTTGGATGGGGCCCAAAAAGGAGCCTCTTGCTGGTGAGATTGCTACTGTGATTGGTTTGAGTTGGATGGTTGAGTTTTGATGAGGAAGACGGAACTGTCATTCTTCTCAGGCTACATTCTGTGAGCATAAATGGAGCGACGATGGGATTTAGTGGTCTAACTGAGCGGACTTGACAACAAGCACCCGCTCACTCACTAGATCTTCGCTACGGCTGCACATCTGATAGCGTGTGTGACCTTTGGGTGCTAGGGCTTGAGTCTACACCACTCGGTCCTACGACTGACAAGCATACACCCCTATTTAGTTTAAAATTTGCTGCACTCCGTGACGCATATGGTTGCCGAAGCCCTCTATCGAATCGTCGGCGTGCACAAGGCCCCCTCGTTATCGCTGATGCGACTAACTGAGTAAGTAGAGAGTTTACATTTATAAGCGTAAGACTCCAAGTTCAGAGCGGAAACGGACCGGGAATTGTGGACAAGGGGTTTATTAAACTCTTAATGAGTGAGCCACTGAAAATTTGTTTGAGTATGTGTTTTAAATCATATCGCAGAAGATGTTACGAGTCTTCGTTTTTACAGGAACGCTCCCGAATAAAAACTGAGAACTAGAGTGAACACATTATTTCGTACCGATGCATCGAATAAATAGAAACACGTTATTTTAAGGGTGTGTATTTTTAGGCATGGCGGACGACGTATGGATATGAAGGTCATCACCGGTCGTTGGGTTAATCGATTATGTATAGCTGGTGCGTTATAGTCAGCTATGAGCATGTGCGCGGGCCCGACATGTGACATCAAGTACAACTATATGTATGACGGGTTATCGTTTGCCATTGTGCTGGGCTCTTGGGCATAGTCATACACAGCACCGCGCATTGGCACTGGCCCAGTAGTCACGATAAGTAGCGAAGGTAGGCGATATCGACTATAGTTACGAGCGTGGCTTTCACTAGTAGCGAAGGTAGGCGATATCGACTATAGTTACGAGT